GGGCCTGCCTTCGCCCCTCTTTCCTGGAGGGGCTTCCCTGTTCTCTGGGAAGGGGCTGCTGCCCTCCTCCCTGGCACCAGCTCTCAGAGAAGGCCCTGCCCTACGGAATTAGGAGTTTGCACTCGGCATTTCCAGACAAACCCTTATCCCCGGAGGAGAGAAGCCACTGTCCCCCGCAGCCCATGGCAGCTGTGAGGATATGAACACCCCGGGAAAGATAGCGCTGGTCCACTGAGCCACATGGGGACCACTGGCGTTGCCACGGTGATTTAAATGCAAGTCATCCTTAAACCTGGCCCCAGATGTTTGTGTTTTCCCAGTCTACCAGCCAAGGCTGTGGGCCCCCGGGACGGGGGAGGGAGGAAGGAGGGCGTTTAGCAGTGAAAAGATCCAGCCCAAAATAATAGCTAAAAATTGGGTCCTAGTGGTCTGCCCGGTATGGTGGACCTCACTCCCCTCCTGTGGTCCATCTCCCCATATTACCTGGACCTGAGTGAGTGACGTGCAAGCTGCGGAGTGATGAGCTCCTGGGAGCTTTCCTGCCCTGCCATGCCCAATCCCGCCCGAGAGGACAGGAGAATAGGAGGATGGGAGGACGGGAGGATGGAGCCCATCTCAGCAGGACGGGCTATTCCACGCCCTGGTCCCCAGCGGCTCCTGGTTCCTGCCTGGCTTTGCCTGCGGGTGCGGCTCCTGGAAAGGATTATCTCTTCGTAGCCTGTTGTGTCGGTTAGCCGATGGGCTGAGCGCTAATCCCTCTTGACACGGAACACATGTGGATGGGAAAGTACTCGGAGAAGGGGTGGCGAGCGCTAGCAGAACTACGCCGGGAAGTGGATTTAGGAGGTGGCGCCTGTGCAGTACCGCTCTCAATGCCCTTCGCCTTCCTCTTTTGGTTTGACTTTGTGATGGACTCATTACTAAGTGGTTGGGAGTGGCTGGGAGGATGAGGCCCACGCCTCCTGGAGATCCTCGATGATTCCGATCCCTCAGTGGGAGTGGCTGAGCGTCAGGGGCCACGGTGGCCAGGAGTGAAGTTTGTGGGCTTAGGAGACACGGATCCGACTCTCAACCTCCTGGTTGCTAATTGTGCAACTTTGGGCAAAGACACCTATACTCTCTGAGTCCCAGGGGTGCCCTGTGCCAGGTGGAGAGAGCACTGACCTCACAGGGTTGTAGGGAGCTTCTGTGAGTTAATAGTGGGCAGGAGCATGGCGAGTGCCTGGCCACACATAGAACTTATCTCCTGTTAGCTATGACCTGACATATTACCTGGAAGGTCCTGTGAACACAGCTGCTCACCTGGCCTGATCCTCCCAGCACCCCTCCCTTTTGTTTATATGACCTTGAAGTTCCCTTGGGAGCAGGTGTCCCCACAGCATGGTTGGTTCTGCTTCTGAGGAAATAGTTATAAACGTGATATGCCCCAAGCCCCCTTATTCTCTTGTTCCAACTGTAAGTCCATCAGGCGGGGAGCTAGTTGGGGAAGCCAAGTTCAAAGCTTGCATACCAGCAGCGTCTGGACCACGGCAAGCTGGAGCTCCCCGTCTCCCATGAGGTTGTCTCTGCTTCATCGTTGTCCCCTGCCCTGCAGGCCCAGAGGAGATGAGGGCTCAGGTGAAGGGAGCACAGATGAGCACACCATCCCCCAAATCAGCACGTAGACAGTGATCCCGAAAGGCCGCAGCCCTGTGTGGTGCAGGGGCGAGCCATCAGCGAAGACGGGCCCCTCAGTGCCCACAGCAGTGTGCTGAGCAGCCCCTCTGCCAGCTTGGTGCCAAGACCTTCCTAAGGTGCCTCTGCACAACCCAGAGGCCAGCAGCATCTCCTAGACCCGCGGTCGGCAAACTGTGGCTCGCGAGCCACATGCGGCTCTTTGGCCCCTTGAGTGGGCTCTTCCACAAAAATACCACGGCCTGGGAGAGTCTGTTTTGAAGAAGTAGCGTTAGAAGCTTAAGTTTAAAAAATTTGGCTCTCCAAAGAAATTTCAACAGTTACACTGTTGATATTTGGCTCTGTTGACTAATGAGTTTGCCAACCACTGTCCTAGACCCAATCAGACCTGTCCACCTGAGGCGTGCCCACTGTATTCCAGAGCCAGGCAAGATGCCCCTCCCCAGGGACGGGAGCCCCTTCCATCGGAAAGGAGAGAATGTGGATTGTACGGAGTGGGTCAGAGATGAGCTGTGGAAGCAAGTGGCTTACTGCTGGGGGCCACTCTGACCCTCAGTTTCCTCATCGGCAAAATGAGGACATGCGGTGAGAGGAAATATGGCACAGAAAGGGCTATGGAGAGTGTGTGGCACAGGGTGCACACAGACCGTGGTCTCCTGAGAGGACTCAGGATTGTCATCATGTCTCAGGGGCAAGAACCAGGGCAAATCAAGAAAGAGGGCGCGTTGGTTCCTGCAGTGAGGAGCTGCTGAACCCCCTCTCCAACAGCTGTGTGCTCTCTGTTTGCTCCACGGCCGGGTGTCCCATGCATGGAGCAGGGGCAGAGTGGCTGCCAGGTTCTTCCTGAGGAGAGAAGAGGGACCGGCTGTCCGGCCGCACCCGGGCTGGGATCCGTGAGGCCCTCAGCATCTTCATCTGGACGCACAGCTTCATGTTCTCTCTCCCTGCACCTCCGAGTCCTGCCGCGGGAGCCATGCGTCCTGGGAGAGCAAAAGGGACCAGGCCCGCACCCCTTGTTTCCTTGAGCTCCCGCTCCACGCAGGCCGCCCGCCGTGCTGTCTTGGCCGAGTAATTCTGCCAGCCTGGGTGGTGAGACGCCTCACACCTCCGAGATAGCACCCCATGCAGAGAGATGTGGAGGCAGCAGGGAACAAGAAAGCATCTGGGTCTGAAAAAGCAGCCTCAGAAGTCCTGAGGGGAGCAGAGGATGCCAGAGCGGGATGCAGTTTGGACCCTCTTTCAAGGCAGGTCCGGTTGCCACTCCTCCTCCCCATGGCCGTCCTTGACCAGCGTCCTGCCCTTCCCAGAACCACGTCCTGCAGTTAGGCTTATGCATCTGTGCTAGCGTCTCAAATCTAAATGCCTATGCAGGCAGGCAAGGTAGATGGAATAATGACGGGCAGACAATAGGGAGAGGTGAGGACTGTGGCAAAGGGGGCATATGTTCTATCAAAGGGGCAGCCACTCCGTAGCTGCCTCCAGTGGACCAAGAGTCTGCATGTTTTTTTCAAAAGAAAATAGAAATCTGATGTGTGTGTGTGTGAGAGAGAGAGAGAGAGAGAGAGAGAGAGAGAGAGAGAGTCTGAGAGGGGGGGTTAACACTGGGAGGACTGAATGAACATATTTACATGTGGGACGTTGCACTGTATTGTGGGAAGGATCCTATCCTTGGGCCATCAGATGGCACCTCTGAGTGGGCCTCTTTGCTAAATGGCTCATATTCGCCATCCTAGACAGTGCCCTCGGGAGGCCCTGAATATCAATGTTTGGAACAAGCCATTTACCACATGCTTCTTGTTTTAAACTAATCAAAAAGTGTGTGTGTGAGTGTGTGTGTGGTACATTTGTTTTTGGGTGCCGGGCCCTGTGAGCTCTCTAGCTTTTCTCCCTGTTTCTCTGCTCCCTGGCATCCTTCTCAGAATGCCCCAAACCGAGGGGCCTCGACTGAAACGTGATCTGTGAAGCACAGGAAATTCTGGAGCTGGGGAGCTACAAAGGGGATAGGCGAGGGCAGGGGGTGAGGCATTCACACAGAAGACATGGTCCCTCTGCAGACCCCAACGATCATAACCGCTCCCAGCCTGTGGCCTCAGGCAGCTCCGCCCACTCTGACTCGGTTTCCCCACCTGTGGCCTGAGGGGCGAGCTCAGCCCATCTGCCCAGGTTCCTGTGGGAACACGAGGCCGTCAGACAGGCACTTTGGCAAACGCGAGACGTGTTCCCGCCACACCAGCTCGTTTCCACCGCGAGGCGGGAGGACATCTGTGCGGGCCCTGGGGACCCTGCCCGCTCTCTGCCAAATTACACAGGCAGCTCCTCCCGTCACGGCTGCAGCTGCCCGCACACCGGCGGCAGCAGGAACAGGTGGCCCAGCTGATTGCGCTGCCAGGGCAGCCCCACCGCTGCCAGCAGAAGCCCCAGGGAACCTGGCATCCAGGGCCTCCGAAGACAAGACAGTCTGTTATGATCCTCCTGGCTGCTCCCCTCCAGGGAAGCTCTGGGCCAGCCCTGAAAATAGGAATTTTAAAACTTCAACATTTAGCTGGTTAGCTCTGTTCCCCCTCCCCTGCTTCCATGTAAGAGGGACTGGGAGATTATGCTAAGCGAGCGTCAAAGGGACCACTCGTCAGTCTGGGAAATGTGGATTCTTAGGGGACCTCAATTTGCTTGACTTTCCAGCTGCATCTCTGGAATATGCTCCTGTCCCCTCACAGCATTGCCTGTGCTGGACTGGGTTCCACCTGCAAGGCATGTTTCTATGATGCTGAGGGGGGGGGGGGGTGAGAGAGAGAGAGAGAGAGAGAGAGAGAGAGAGAGAGAGAACTGCGATACAAGCCCAAGCCCACCCATGGATGTGTGCTTTGTGAGAGGATGCTCTATAACTTCCATCAGATTTCCAGTAGAATAAATGATCACAAAGAACCAAGGACTTTTCTGAATCAAAATGGTCTTTAGTCAGTCAACTGCAGCTTGGAAACAGTTGTGCATATGATTTTTTTTTTTAAACCCTGGAACCTCTGCATTCTAGAGCAGAAAGCCGCGCACGTGGGCACCACCTCCAGCCTTCCTCCCGGGCACGGTCTTGAGGAGAGGCTCCCGATGATGGCAGAGTGCGGCACAGTGGCCGTGGTGCCCTGGCATGCCCATGCCCAGGCTTCTTCTAAGTGCCTGTGGCCACAGGAAGGCGAGTCCCCCTCTCTCTGCTCAGCAGCAGGAGCCTGGCTGCGAGGAAGGCGAGGGAGCTCTGCAGCCCAGTCCCTGCATGAGCCCTGGGCCCACGCGGACAGCCAGGGTCAGTGAGTCACCCGCCTCTCTTGTGCTTGCAGCCTCCTCAATGCCAACAAGATCAACTGCCTGCGGGTGAACACGTTCCAGGACCTGCAGAACCTCAACCTGCTCTCCCTCTATGACAACAAGCTGCAGACCATCAGCAAGGGACTCTTCGCCCCTCTGCAGGCCATCCAGACGCTGTGAGTACGCCCAGGCAGCCGGGGACCCACACCTGGCCACGGGGACCCCCACGTGCGGGCAGAGTGGGCACTAGTACAGCTCCCCTGTTCTGAGCTCAGTTCCTCCCCTGGATGCACACCTCTAAGCCTTATAACAACCCTTTGTGGTAGGTGCTGTTATGATCCCCTGGTTCTGTGAGAGGAGACCATGGCTCAGAGAGGTTAGGTCACTTACTCAAGGTTACACAGCTAGTGAGAATCGGGATTTGAATCCAGGCAGAGTTGCCCCTCAACTGCTCTCTTATTCGCTGCAGCCACTATATTCTCTGAGGAATAACCCACCACTACTGACTCCAACCCCCCACCCCGGCTGCCCTCTGATATGGGCACCCTGGGAGTATTACACCACCCGCCTCAGGAGCAGTTCCTCACTCCCTAGCACTGCACATGTTCACAGAGAGGTCCGTGAAATCGCTGACCACCTAGCACAGGTCTCAGGCTCCGGCCCCACACTGAGACCTTCACCCCAGCCAGGGGCCTGTCCGTCAGCCTGGGGCGTCTGAGTCACCTGGCACTCGGCCTGCAGCAAGAGACAGGAACCAGGAAGAGTAGGAACAGCTGCCCCCTACCACATGCCAGGCACCGTGGGCAGCTCTGCAGGGCATTCTCACTGAGCCAACGAGAGCGAGGCCACAGTGTGGCAGCAGTGCCACTGCTTCTTTTGGACACCCCCGTGTGCCTGCCACCCCGGCAGCTGCCTGATGCGCCTGAGCACAGAGACAGACACACACCCTAGGCCTGCAGCTCGATTTGCCCATCAGGATTGGCGTGGGTGAAGGTCGGGGGCATCCGCAGTAGGTCCTGCCCCTAATGGGCGAGGCCGAGTTCCCAGCCCCTCTCTAGTCCCCTCTGAAAGCAGCCCCCGCGCCCCCCAGGCCTCCTGGGCTGATGAGGGAGGGATCCGTGCCCCGGAGGGCCAGGGCCCAGCACCAAGCCGGACGGGGTGGTATGGGCACCGCGGGCCACTCCTGATGAGCACCCCTCTCTCCCTCCCCCAGCCACTTAGCCCAAAACCCGTTCGTGTGCGACTGCCACCTGAAGTGGCTGGCGGACTACCTGCAGGACAACCCCATCGAGACCAGCGGGGCGCGCTGCAGCAGCCCCCGGCGGCTGGCCAACAAGCGCATCAGCCAGGTCAAGAGCAAGAAGTTCCGCTGCTCAGGTAATCAGGTTAGGGTGCGCCCGCCCCCCTCCGCGCCCCCGGGGGGGCCCCTAATCCGATCTGGAGGACGGCGAGCTGCAGTGGCTCCTGGGAGCAGCTTTGCAAATTAAATTGGGGAAATCCAGTTAGTCCTGCAGAAAACCAATTACCTTATGGATTTAAAATAAAACACACACACACACAGGAGAATCATGGGGCGGGGGTGGGGGGTGGGGGGCGGCAGGGGGATGCGTGGTTTCAGCCAGCGTCTCTCGGGGGCTAGGTGGAAGCTAGAGATTGGGGTGGGCTTTTTATGCATTTTTTTTTTCCTAGTGTCTAAAGCGTGCTCCCCAAGTGGCAGGTAGAGAGGGATTCCTCAGGCAGGGCTGCGGGCAGCATATAATCTTGGGGGCCTCTTCTCCCCTCAGCCACAGTGGGTTTCAGGATCCTCAGACATGTTTGCCAGCTCTCTCCCCTCGCTCCCCGCCCCCCTTGCCGGACCGGTAACTCTGATCGCTAGAGAAGAGCAAGCCCTGCCCTCCAGTCCCCAGGCTCCCTCTGCCACCTCGCTCCCCGCTCCCTGCCACTCCAGGAGAGACACCTGGCCGAATGGCAGGGGCATTCTCAGCGCCTCTTGGACAGGGAGGTCACTGTCCCTGACCCCGTAGTTTGGGGAACGAGCAGTTAAAAATGACTGTCCTTTGTGTCATTTGCTCCTGGGAAAAAAGTCACCAAGCCGCATTGTGTGCCCCGTGGTAAGAGGTTGATAGCGGGACGTGCCGAGATGCTGCACCGACCTCACAACCCGTGTGTCAGCGAGAACCTCTCCTCTCCCCACCCCAGCGCGCCGAGCTTTCCCGGGCGGCGCCAGCTGGGTGGCCCAGAGAGGGCCCCAGGGCAGGCGTCTGCTGCTGGCAAGCCCTTCCTGTCCTCTGAGTCACACCCTTGAGTCCAGGTCTCCAGAAGGATCAACTTCAGCTGTGTTGCTTTTGTCAACAGCAGCAAATACCTGGAGCGGCTTGAGGGTAACAGAGTCTGGGCACTAGGAGGCGCTGCTCCCAGTAGTCTTCCCGGAGCATCACGTCTGCCGGGAGAGCAGTTTTTTGCCTTGGTGAGCACTGTGCCGCGTGCTCTGCTTTGGTTTGATTCTTCCCACAGTCCTGTGAGGCCAGCAGGACTGGCCCCCGCCCTGCAGCAGAGGGAGCCAGGGGCTCAGAGGTGACAGGCACCCCAAGGTCACAGCCAGCCATGGTGAAGGCGGGGCCAGCTCACTCCTCGTAGCACCTGGGAGAGAAGAGCATTTGGGAAGGAGGTCCAGCTGCTTGAATGACTGACTGTCTTTCCCAGTCTAATGGTTCCTCCCTCCATCCCACCCCGGAACTCTGTCTGAAGTTCCTTCCCACCCAGGGCTATCCCCAGGGGACTCTCCTGACTATCACTATCCCCTCCATTCCCGGCCAGTCTGGCCACAGCCACGTTCATTCACTCTGACAGGCAGTTGTGCTCAAGAAGAGGGTCAATCAGAGGGAGAGGAAGGCAGGTGTCAAGCCAATAACCCTCAGTCTCTCATGGGGGTCCTGTTGGTGTGGAGCTCCAGATCAATGCCAGGGTTCTGAGGGGCAGGGTCTGAGACTGGCATCTCCCGGGACACAGGCATCACTGTAGGCTGGGATGGGGCCCGGGGTGAGGGTGGGGGGTGAAGGGGCAAGTAGGAGAAAGAGAAAGTAGGGAGTAGACCCAGGACACAGGGCCTTGGAGCCTGGCTCTGACTCCAGCTTCGCCCCAGCCTACCTGCCTCTGCACAGCAGGACCTGCTGCTTTCTCTGGGTGAGGCAGGAATGCTGGGAAATGCACATGCAACAGACAAGGACAGAGGTGGGCCTCTAAATGTCTTGTTTTAATCAGTAGTAAGCAGACGTGATGCACGCCCCTCCCGCTAGTATTGCTCTGAAGGCAGAGGAAGCGAGAGCATTCTGCAGCTTGTTTTCTGAGCTGCAGCGGAGGGAGGGAGAGCGAGCTGTTGTGCCCCGGAGGCCTGGGCTCTGGGAGACGCTGGGCCCACCACCCTGGCCTGGGCAGCAGAGCCAGAACCCTGAGGCTGTTTCCGGGAAGACAGGAGGAGGGGCAGGTGACACGTAGTGGATCTGACAGATAATAGCTCTGCGTTTTACTTCCCCCTAAAAGCGCCCCATCGCAGAGACAGCTGATGTGATTAAGAGCCAATTTGAGGGCGGCTCCTGCAGCACACAAAGCCCCTCATGGCGGGTCTGGGGTCCCAGCAGCCCTGCGTGTGCTCCATCAGCCCAGGCGCACCACCTTCCTGGGCAGCAGGTCAGGCTGGAGGCAGAGGCTGCCAGCTGGGGTGATCTGACCACCCAATCAGGTCCTCCCGAAGGGCGCCGTCTGGCTGCGGGGACTCCGAACCCACCCTGGGGAACATGGGCAGTTGGAAGATACCATCTTCCTTCCTTTCTCCTTCCCCCTCCCCCACCACTTTGTGTGTGGGCACCCGTCTGCAAGAGGCCACTCTTCTGGCAACAAGTCCAGAGGTGGGGACACCAGATGTGCAAAGGTGGCCGACAGCGTGGCACTCAGGGAATCAGAGCTTTAGAGCCCCTAGCCCACCAGGTCCTGCCAGAGAGGAAGAGGCGGAGCCACACGGGATAAGGGACCTGCTCCGACACCCAGTTCCCGCGGGCTGAGGAGACTCCATCGCTGTCCCCGGGCCCCGCCCCTGGCTGTCGTTGAGGAGACGAGGGAGAAGGAGAGCCTCCCTGGTGTTCAGGCTGGGGGCAGGGGCAGGGGCAGGGGCAGGGGCAGGGGCAGGAGCGGGCAGTGGCCCTGCTGTGGCCCTGAGGGCCTATCACACCCAGACACTGAATCCCCAAACCAGAGTTCTTACCGAGCCTGCATGTCTGAGGTCCAAGCGGATTTGGTCTGAATGACAGTGGCCAACTCGGGCAGAGGGGAGGGCTTAGGGAGACAAGGGCCAGACCCAGAGCTGCAGTGCCCACTGCAGACACCAGTGCACTGTCCATGCTGAGATGGTCTCGTCCCAAAAACACACTGTGGAAGGACAGTGACCCGTCCTCCGTCACAGGGCAGGGCGGGGAGGTCTCTTCCAGGTACACGGCTCCTCCCAGTGGCTGGGGGGATGGGGCGGGGGACGGGGGGGGGGGGGGGGGGGGGGGAGTCCCGAGCCAGCAGGTGCATGAGAGCTGCCCGATCTCTTGCAAGATCCCGGGGAACATAAAGCCCAGCATCCTCACCGGGGCCTTGGCATCAGAAATACTTGGCTGTTGCTTCTCCTCCTTCTCCCACTTCTGTCGTCCGCCCCCTCCCCCCGCCCCCTGATTCACAGCCATGGAAGAAATCAGGAAATCACCAAGGGCCTGGAACACCCCTTCTTCCTCCTCTCAGTCTGAAAGAGGCCTGTCCTCAGAGCACTGGTATCTCCTCTGTGAAATCTATCCCAATGGGTCTCCATCCCAATTGGCTCCTCCTTCTGCCTCCTTTGCTGGAAACGTGTATTTTCCCTCCGATTTCCCCCCTACCCCCCCCCCACGTTATATCTTGGGCAATCTGGGAGGGACGTCCGCCAGCCAGGGGATTTCTGGGGACCCTCCAGGACACTGAGGCGACTCTGAATTGTGGCCACATCAGAGGGCTTTTCCTGAAGATGGTGGCGGCTTTGCCAGCCCCCTCCCCTCCCCCCCCCCCCCCCCCAGGAATGGTGGCGCGTCTCTAGCAAGGGTTGGGCGGGCTGTTGGGGAGGCTCTGCTGGGGCCTCAGGACCGAGCACACAGCAGTTTGGCACCGTTGGGGTCAGGCGTGACCATGTGACCATGTAGGGCGCAGAGGCCGTGACTGGGCCCCTGCTGCTTCTGTTATCTGGGGAAGGATGCATTCAGCCCCGAAATCCCGAGTGGAGGTGTCAAACCTCCTCCCTCCCTTCCCCTTCCTCCTCCGGTGTCTCTCCTGGGTGGGCTCGGTTTGGGGGCTCCTGTCTTCGGAAGTGCTCCCGCGGACCCACTCCTGGTACTAATCTCGCTCCGTGGGGCCTTCTCGGGCTCCTGCCTCTCCACGCTGCTTCCACTGAGCTGTCCTCTCTCTGGCGCTGCTTCCTGACCCGACCGCCCGGTCGCCGCGGGGCTTTCCTTTGTGCTTGATCTAACCATGTGGTGGAACGATGGAAACGGAACATGGTTCTGTCAAGCACCGCGGAAAGCTGCGCGCTCTCCTGCAGCATGGCCCGCCGCACCGCACCGCTGGACACCTCTCTGCTCTGGACACCGCCGCCGCCGCCAGACCCTCGGGCAGCCTCGGGGCGGGGTGGGAGCCCCCACTTCGCTGAGTGCCTCCCCTCCAGGGAGAGATACGGCCCGAAAGGGGCGGAGGAGCACCCTGAGGCCAGGCTAAGAGATGTATCCACAGCCACCCCAAATGGAGTGGCCACTCCCCAGATCTAGCCCAGATGCCCGCCGGGTCAAGTAGACGGGTCCAAGGTCAAACCACCAGGCGTACCTTCCATGCAAAGCGGGCAGATGGACCCGAAGCATATGCCCCGTTGTTTCTGGGGAGAAGCCCAGCCCAAGGTCATGTTCCCAAGTGTCGTTAAGCCAAAGGTCACAGTGTTAGGCCCGCCCCGCTCCCACCATCTTTACGGGAAGGGATGTGAGCATGGGAATGGGGGACATGGGCGCGAGTCCGAGACTTGGATGAGCCTGGGAGACTCCTCTGAACCTGACCCCCACTCCTCAGGAGCATGTGGGCCCTTGTCCCGTGCAGACTGAAGTCTGTCCTCTTGACCTTCAAGCACAGTCAACATGGAGGCCCAAGGTTCTTTACCTGGTGTTAGTTCAGGGCCACGCGCCTGTGCAGTCACCTGCTGTCTGATGGTGAAGAGAAGGTTCTTGGCCCCTCCCATTCAGCTAGTTTCCTGATAATCCTGGGCCCAGAGATTGTGCTGATGGTGCATGTCATGGGGTCCACGTCCCCTCCCAGGAGAGACAGCCATGGTGGGAACCGAACCCTGGCCTAGGCCCAGGAGCGGGCTCTGGGCTCCCCCGGGGAGGTGTGACTTGACTATCTCCTCTCTCAGCCACGTGCCCGCCTGGCTGAGTACCCCCGTCCTGTGAACCTCTCCAAATTCTCAGTCATGTACTGCGTGCTACTGTGGGGCTAGCACTACACTGCTCACATCACTGCCTTGTTCAGCCTCCCAGCAACCCTGTCTCCAAGTCCCATTTTACAGATGAGGATGTCGGGGTTCAGAGAGGCTCATTGACCTGCCCAGGGCCCCCGGACTGCAGCAAGCATGGTCTTTATGTCTGCAGTCCTCGGTCTTCCCAGCTGTGGACAGTCCCATTGCCTTGAACCATAAAATCGAAAAGGCTTTGACTTGAATGGATGGGGAATTGAAAATTTCCTTTTTTAACATTCCCTTTCAAGCTTACTTCTGTTAATAGAAAATAACTTGAGAAATGAAGAGAACGAGCAGTGCTGGGTATATGGGTCTCCTCTTGATGTGACTATACCAAGATCCAGATGGTACAGAACATATCCATGGGCCTGGAGAAGCCCCCTTTCCTCTGAACAGGGTCAGGGGGGCATTCTGAGCTCCTGGGTGCTGCCCACCGGGCCAGGGCCAGGCCTTGGGGAGTGTGTCCATCATAGTACCCTTCTGTGGGCACCTCCCCAGTCCTCAGCAGCAGGCGTGTGACCGGGCTGTGCCCAGTGGGCCACGGGCATCTCCCTCTGCCTTCAGGAATATGGCCGCCTTCACAATAGCGGAGAGACCTTCCCGGGACAGCTGTGCACCCACCTGATCCCCAGGCCCCGTTAGCACAGGTGGCATTTCCCAGCACCTGTGTCTGGTCCCCATCTACGCCCACGAGGGAATAACCGTGCCTGGCACTGTCCTCTTGATTCTACTCGTGACTTATGACCCTTCGCTTGTCCACGTAACTCTCTCTCCAAGCTGATGAGCCTGGCAGGCCTCCTGCGCCCCCCCCCCCGCCCCCCATTCCTCTTTCTGCTCCTTTCCTTCTTTCTTCCGTCCTGCTCACCTTAGAGAGATTGGAGAGAGCTTTGGACGTGTGCTTGGACAGGTCCATGGTCATCAGACAGTGGCGGAGCTGTGACTTAGGCTCCACAAACGGGTTGCCGGAAGGATGACAGAGTGCAGACGGCTAGTGACAGCCGCCGTGCCCAGGGCCAGTCTGGCGCTGCGGCCACATCCATCATAGAGGGCAACTGGGACTCCCTACCGGCCCAGCCAGGGCTCTGTAATAAAATGGCCTTGCTTCTCTGTGATCATGTGCCCAGTGTCCTTGTTCTGAGCTGCCCGGGAGGGGAGGAGGCCACCTGGGCAGGAGGAGGAGTTGCCCATGACATCAGCTCTCTCGAGACCTGGTCCAGCCGGGCTCAGTTCTATGGCCCCTTTGCAAGTCCCTGTCCCCTCCCCCCCAGCTCTCCTGCCTGAACCCGCCCCAGAGAGCGCCCGTCCGCCGGGCACCGTTACCTCCCTGGCTAAGCGTCTCTGGCAGTGACAAATGCGCAGTGAGATGGGAACCGACTTCTCAAGCCCTGGGAAAGTTAAAAATACTTTCGGGTGCTTATGAGCATTAGGCAGAACAAATGGCTCCGAGAAACCCCGGGCCGTCTCGATCATGAAAAATGAAGCGACGGCGGTGGCATTTCAGGCGGGCGGCGCCTGGGGACAGACCCTTCTGCTTCCGTGCCTACGCCATGATTAACTTTTCTGTCCCCCTCCCCCCCACACTCACACATATAAAATATTATACGCCGACCCCCTCGCTACCACAAACCGGGGCAATAACAAACACAGCCGGGGGGGGGGGGGGGATGCCGGGAAGAACACGTGAGTCCCTGGACTCTAATTTGCAAAGTCATTCCATTCAAATGGGTCAGCGCCTCCGTTGCAGAAGTCCGCCCATTGCCATCCAAGTATAATACACTACAGAGAGCAATTCCTGCCAACGACACGGCTCTCACCTTGATTAAAAGGGAAACACGTTACCCAGGGCTGTCCCCAGACACGGCCCAACGGTGTGTGTTTTCAGGTTCAGCGTGCCGAAGAGCAAACTATACCCCCCCTCCCCTGTCTTTCTGCCTTTGACCAGCTCTCAGGGCTCCTCCGCTTTGCAAGGATCCCTCGTGAACTCCTCCCGAAGGAAAAGCATATGTGGGAAACACCCCACACTCTCTGGCCGTGTGCAGCCGCTGGCGGGGAACCGAGAGGACTGTCACTCCGCAGGGTTTGCCAAGTGAAATGCACCCGGGCTCGGCATGCCGGTGCCTCTAGGGGACACGGCCCCGGTCAGAGTTATCGGGTGGGCTGGATGCTGGCAGGCCAAGTGCAAGAGATTTGTGTAAGGCATCAGACAAGGAAGTGCCCCCCCCCAAAAAAACAAAAAAAAACATGGGGATCCGTGACAGGTTTTGCTCACACGAACCTGGGGGTGGAAGGTGGAGTGAAAGCAGTGGGAGGGGGGTGGGAAGGGGAGGACGTGGAGTTGGGTTCAGACCTCTGACCCCTTGTGGTAGGGAGAAGGTGCACTTCAGAACCAGAGACCCACCAAATCCATTGTCAATCAGAAATTGGCGCAGGTTGATCATGGGAGAAGCGAGAGGCTTCCTGCCTCACCGTAGCCCAGGGCAGGAGCTTCCGGTCCAGTCCTGGGAGGTTTTGTCAGGAAGCACGCCTGCAGCAGAGTGTGGTGCTAGTCACATGGGGACCAGCATTTGCTCTTCGACACCTGTGGACCTCAGCATCCTTATCTATAAAACGGAGCCTGATGCTCTCAGAAGCTTAATATGCTCACCCTTTTGAAATTCAAAGAGTAGAGCTCCGCTCCTGGTCCACTGTCAGTAAATGTCAGCTCTTGTCACGGGATACTCGGATGTTTCAGTGGCTTCCGACATGCCTGACGTTCCGCTGGGTTCTAGAAAAAGCAAGTAGAATCACAAACAGCTACACAACTGTTGCCCCTTTCCCAAGAGACCCTCCCGTGCCTCCATCTTCCTTGCATTTTCACAACAAACACCCGTGGGACAGGGGCGATTACTTGATTCCCTTTGTACACGTGGAGAGACCAAAGTGGATCAGTGGCAAAGCCCTAGGCAAACCCTCGCCCTCTATTGCCAAGACCGCGGTACTGCAGTGATCACACTGCTCGCGGTGCAGGTAGACTAAGGTGCGCCTGGCGGGCCACGCGAGGAAGCAACACTCGTGGTCTCTGAACCTGTCTCTGAACGCCCACCCCCAGCCCCGAGCCAGTGGCACCCGCTGATGCCATGAACACTTATGACGTGGGCCCTTGTTCTGTGACTGGCATTCTGCTCAGGGAGCGTTGATGGCGAGCTAATAAGGACCTTCCCCAGCCACCAGCTGGTCCCGTAGGGTGTGGCCTGTGTCTGCCTCGTGGAGGTTCGCCCAGGGTCAGGGGACATTTCTGATCAATAGAGTGGCTGCCAGGGCTGAAACCAGTTTGGCTCAGTGGATAGAGCATCAGCCTGTGGATTGAAGGGTCCCAAGTTCGATTCTGGTCAAGGGCATGTACCTTGGTTGCGGGCACATCCCCAGTGGGGGGTGTGCAGGAGGCAGCTGGTCGATGTTTCTCTCTCATCGATGTTTCTAACTCTCTATCCCTCTCCCTTCCTCTCTGTAAAATGTCAATAAAATAAAAAATTTAAAATTTAAGGAAAAAAGTGGCTGCCAGGGCGTTGCTCGGACAGCGCATGGTTGGCCCTGTTCCCCTCGAGGACAATCACGCTTCAAAAAAACAAACCTTCGTTTCGGACGCACTTAGCTCGTCAGAACTGGCCTTTCGCTGGAGCTCAGCGGGGCTCCCTCACAAGGCGGAGACAGAGAGGGGGCGCAGATCTGGCCCTCAGAGGCTGGTGCTTGTCTCCTCTGGGTTTCACATGGTTCCTCTTCGCCAGCAGCATGTTTTTAAAGGGATGGCAGGCAACATAGGGCCACGTTCCCAAGCTCCGGGCAGTGCCTTCTGTGCCCCAGGTCCCAGCTGTTGGACCAGGTGTGGGTGGTCATGGGTGGCCCTGTGCTGGGCCTCCTTTATTGCCTCCATACCTGCTTGGTCCCTGAGTGTGTAACCCCCCCCCCTTACTCCGTTCCCACCCCTGGTGTAGCCCCCATCAGAACCCCATCGAAATCTCCTCATTTGGGTTGTCATGGACACTCAGAGGGTCCATGGACCAGGAGCATCAGGCCTCAGTAGCCCCCTAAACTGTGGCCAAATTCCATACACATGTGCCTGGAGCGCTTCTAGGAGAAGACGTCCTAGCTTCACCCCCCCCCCACCCACCCACCCCCCCGCTTCTCTGAGAAGTCCATGCCCCCCAAAAGCTCATGCGTCCGCGGAGGGGTCTCCGGGGACGAGAGTGGTGAATGGCAGCCCGGATGGAGAGCCGGGGGGCGGGAGGGCACCAGCAAGGTGGCCGACAAATGCGGGTGGCGCTGTACCTGTCCCGGGCGGGGGCGGGAACCCTGGTGACGCCGTCCCCCCTCTTTGGCCCGCCCAGGCTCAGAGGATTACCGCAGCCGGTTCAGCAGCGAGTGCTTCATGGATCTCGTGTGTCCCGAGAAGTGTCGCTGCGAGGGCACCGTCGTGGACTGCTCCAACCAGAAGCTGGCCCGCATCCCCAGCCACCTCCCTGAGTACACCACCGATCTGTAAGTGCCACCCAGGAGGGGGGGAGGGGCAGGGGGGTGGGGAACACAGCACTAGGAGGTGGGGAGCTGGCAGACTTGGATCTGATGCCCACCTTCTCCGGTCTTCCTGGTACTGGGCAGCTGCTTCTCAGATCTGAGGGTCAGATTCTTAGCTGCAGAAATGGAGACAGTGGCCCTACCGCCAGGGTGGCCAGGGCCAATTGATCAGAGAATGCGAGCACAGGACTCACCTTGAACCTGGCGCAGAGTAAGCCCCAGGTAAACGAAGGTGGCCTTCATCGCCCTCACCGTCCTTCTCTGGGCCTCACAAGTCACACAGGACTGGGCGAGGCACTGCCTCCTGGCCCTCCTCTCCCTGAGCACCTATGCATGAGCAGCCCCGGCAGAGGGAAGGGTCGGGAAGGAGCCGAGAGGCTGGGCGCCTTGGGAGGAGGACATGGGAAGGCCTTCCCGGGATGTGACTGTCACTGGTGCCCTCCTGAGTGAAGGCGGGTCCCTGGCAATGGATGGTCTGGGGGCTGAGTATTCAAAAACCCAATACACCTAGTCCTGGGGCTTCCCCCTAGGGAGGACCTGGCCTCTTCCCTTTCCTGCCCCTCTCACACTCCCCTTTCCGCCCTCCCCACCCGTGGGCTGCGGGATGGACACTGCATTGTCCACAGCTCTGTTGATACTGGCTGAGTGTGAGGTCCAGGAAGCCATGGGGGTGCTGGGTAGGGCATGGGAAGGTGGGCAGAAGGAACCCCATCCATCATCAGCTGAGCCGCCCCCTCATCTGCTTGCTTCCCATGTAGGCGACTGAACGACAACGAGATCTCTGTCCTGGAGGCCACCGGCATCTTCAAGAAGTTGCCCAACCTGCGGAAGATGTGAGTCAGCTGGGCAACTGGCAGCCTGGGCAGAATGCAGGGGCGGGGCGGGTCCCTCAGTCCCTCAGCTCCAGTTTGGGCCTCTCAGCTCCTCCTGACTGCTCCTCACCCCCACCCCCATCCCGGGCATGTATAGGGCAGCGGGCAGCAGGCACTGAGGCATGGCATGTAGACACAGACCAAAATGGAACGTCACTGTTTCTACATGGTCAAGTACTATGCAGGGGTGTGCCCCATGCCATCCCTGCCTCCCATGTGCCCCCTGCTCCTCCTGTTCCCCAGCCCACCACCTGCATCTGCCCCGAGGGAGGGGAAGGGACTCAAGAGAGAACCAGCAACAGGACTCAGGGGTCTCCAGTGCATGTCACAGCAATTTTTTCAAGGTGAGGGTTTAAAAGTTTGGGGGGTTTTCCTACTTGCACTTGACATGCAACATTATGTTAGTTTCAGGTGTACAGCATAGTGGTTAGACATTTATATAACTCATAAAATGCTCCCCCCACCATGTCCAGTGCCCACTTGACACCATTCGTAGTTATTTCCATATTCTTGACTGTATTCCATAGGCCCTGTGGTCGGCAAACTGCGGCTCTCAAGCCACATGCGGCTCTTTGGTCCCTTGAATGTGGCTCTTCCACAAAATGCCACGGCCTGGGAGAGTCTATTTTGAAGAAGTGGTGTTAGCAGAAATTTAAGTGTAAAAAATTTGGCTCTGAAAAGCAATTTCTATCGTCCTGTTGCTATTTGTCAAGTCTGTTGACTAATGAGTTTGCCGACCACAGCCCTAAGCTGTGCTTTACATCTCCATGACTATATTGTAACTGCTGCTTTGTACTTGCTAATCCTGATTCGTAGGTTGACGCTCAATCACTGAGCCATGCTGGCCTGGCCAGGATGTATTTTTAACTCTACCCTGACAGGGCACGTGGGCAAAGGAGAGTGACCAGTCAGGGGTTTAGACTTAGCTGTGCCCTTCCGGACCATTCTGAGCCCCGTACACATGTCAGAATGAAGAGGCTGCCCTGAGCATCGCTTGTGGAAAGGGATGCAGAAGGATGAGCTGGTGCCCACAGGGTCGTTAGCACTGTGGCAACTCAAGGCCACTTTTCAGATGACATCACCCTCAGAGTGAGGTCATGTCGGCTCTCGGGTGACTTCCAGCCCCTTCTCTCTGGAAAACTCTCCACCAGAGTCTGGAAACTGGCGGCCCCACCCTGGGTGCCCCTGGGCGGGTTTGCTGGCCACGATTATGCTATTAATAAGAGTCAGCTACCCAACTTTAAAAATCAGGAGTTGGCACATACCAAAATATCAGGATTTCTGGAAAATCAGAAGATCTGGCAAAACTGGACCCACATTCCCAAATGGCTCCGATTGAGTGGCCCTGAGGAGCAGCGCCCCCTTAGGTGGGACATGTGTTCTCCTGACCACTGCGCCCCCAGGACCTGCTCCTAGCTGACCACTCCCACCCGCTCCCCCGGGTCTGCTCCCAGCTGATCACTCCCACCCACTCTCCCCAGGGCCTGCTCCCATCTGACCACTGCCATCCCCTCCCCCGGGCCTGCTCCCAGCTGACCACTGCCATCCCCTCCCCCGAGCCTGCTCCCAGCTGACCACTCCCACTCCCCGCCCCCGGGCCTGTTCCCAGCTGACCACTGCCATCCCCTCCCCCGAGCCTGCTCCCAGCTGACCACTCCCACCCCCCTCCCCCAGGCCTGCTCCCAGCTGACCACTGCCATCCCCTTCCCCAGGCCTGCTCCCAGCTGACCATTCTCATATCCCTCTCCCAGGCCTGCTCCCAGCTGACCACGCTCATACCCCTCTCCCGGGCCTGCTCCCAGCTGACCATTCTCATACCCCTCTCCCAGACCTGCTCCCAGATGACCACTGCCATCCCCCTCCCCCCAAGCCTGCTCCCAGCTGACCACTGCCATCCCCCTCCCCCCAAGCCTGCTCCCAGCTGACCACTGCCATCCCCCTCCCCCCAAGCCTGCTCCCAGCTGACCACTCTCATCCCCTCCCCAGGCCTGCTCCCAGCTGACCACTGCCATCCCCTCCCCCGGGCCTGCTCCCAGCTGACCACTCCCACCCCCTGGGCCTGCTCCTGGTGTTGTCACCTGCCTGGACTCTGTGGACATTTGAGTTTACAATCCCAGCTGCAGAAAGAATGTCCACCCCAGAGAAGCTAGGGGTCCTCATGGAGGTGAGCAGGACCCCCAGACCTGCCAGTGTGCCAGGCACTTTTGCTCCATCATGACCCCCTCCTCGGTTCCCAGAAGCCCTTTGCTCTCTCCCCACCACCCGTCCACCTGGCATAAGCTTAGGCAGCACTGCAGGTCCTTCCCGTTGCCAGGTTCATGGGCTGCCCTGCAAGCTGAGACTTCCCCGAGGCATCCCAGCTGCGGGGCCCTCGTGGCTCTCAGGGAAATCTTAGAACCCGTCTGACTCAGCCAGCAGCTCACAGCAGCCGCAGGCCCCTCTGCCCCTGGGTCCTCTGAGGCACCCTGAGCCTGGGGTGGGGCTTTCTGGATCCCCCCAGGGGGACCCTCCATTCTCGTGGGCAGCAGAGTGCCTAGCAGGACCCTTCAGGAAGGTCTTCAGACACCCCAACACCCTCATTTGGTGGCCCAGTGGCCCGAATGCTTGCCCCAGGCTGCTCGCACAGGCTTCATCCCAGGCCGCCTGCTGTTTTGAACACCACTGTGATGGATGCAGAGAGAGCAGTAGCCTGGTCTTCTGGAACATTCTCTCCCCTTTTGTCCTCCCTTTATGTTTTCCATTCTCCCAGCCTGAGGCCATGCAGGTCAGAGCCTTCCAGGAGCGTGATGCTCCTTTTGCTCACTTAGAGAACCAGATGTCAGGAGACGGGAGCCCTCGCTGCTCGGCTGCTGTAACTCATCGTCATTGAGGCCCTGCGCTTCAATTCCCGGAAGCCTGACTCTCAGGAGCAAAACCTGTGTCCTCTAGTGTTTCGATGAGTTACAGCTGCTGGGGGAGCCTCCTGTGTCTATTTGGGGGTAATTTGCCGTCTCCCCAGAACATTACCTTCGTTCCTGGACCAGGACGATAGGATTTATAAGAAAACCAGCTGCGATTAAGGACAGCCAGGCAGCGAGCAGAGATCCAGTGTGGGATCTTACACTCCCCCCCTCCCCGCCCCCGTGACCTTGGGGAGGGGTTCTGAGGGCCTGCTCCTATGTCCTCCGCAGGATAGAAGTGGGAGAGGGGAGCAGATTGGTGATGGGGAGGAGCACAGAGGGAGCAGAGATGGAGAGTGGGGCTGAGATGCCATCTCTGTCCTCCACGCCTGCCCACAGGTGTGGACACTGTGGGACCTTGCAGGGCCGGGCCTTACTTAGAACAATGGCAGGCTCCCGCCCGGGGCCGTTAGGCACCCAGTTCCACACCCTGAGGCTGCGGTAGCTCTGCACAGAGCTCCCTCGGGGAGGGCATTGGAGAAGCAGCAGTGCAGGGATGGGAGAGGTGCTCTGGGAGCCGGGCCTCGGCATGGCCAGCAGCACCATGGGCCCGCTGGTCCATCTCTAGTGAGCCCTCAGCTCCAACAACCTTAGGTTCTCGGCCAGTTAGCGAGCACATCTCCATCTGCAGACCTCACCATTACCATCTGGTGCAAAACTCTGGCTGCTCTGTGCTCAGGTGGCTGAATTCCTCCCTCAGGCTGTCAGTGCCTCACCTGTCGCTCCACCCATCCCTCCTGCGCCTGCGCTGCGTATCAGGATGGTCTGCAGAGGCCCCAGCCCCCCGCTGGTCCCCTGCCTGCCAGGGAACTCGCAGCCCTAGAGGCCCTACAGGACCTGCCTGCTGTTCAGGTCTCCGGAGGCCTGGTGTGGTGACTGGACCTGGCAGGGGAGGGGAGAGCCTGCTCACAGTGACAGGACCGAGACCCTCTAGGGAAACATAACATCCCAAACCTGAGTTTGCAAAGCAGTAATGCACAGAAATCAATATCCACGTCACCTAAGGAGCTGTCACATAGGGTTCCCGGGAGGACTTTGTGTGTGCCCGCAAGCCTGGCTTCCCATCCCCTCCCTCAGCCGTGTGACTGTGGGCAAGTTGCTTAAGCTTAAGGTGACCAGACGTCCCGCTTTTGGAGGGACAGTTCCGATTTTTAACAATTTGTCCCGTGTCCCGTGGCACAAAAATTGGGACTTTTTTAAAACTCCGCAGGACACAGGACAAATTGTTAAAAATCAGGACTGTCCCGCCAAAAGCGGGAGATCTGTCACCTCACTCAAGCTCTCTGAGTCTCAGTCACCTTAGCCCTAGGATGAAACCGTGGTAATAATGACACCCATCTGGTAGGCCTTGCTATGAGGATTTGATGTGATTTTGTGGCCACAGAATAATGCTCAACACGTGGAGACTAGGACGTGTCGGTTTATGTCTGGGATCTGGCCTGGTGAAGGAGCTCGGAGTTCTGCAAACACCCAGCCCGTGGGGGGGAGGGAGGGGTTTCTACCCCCTCCTCTTAGGAAGTGCTGCTTACCGAGGGCATCTGTTGAAGACAGAAAGTTCAAGAATCCCCTTTTCTTTCGTCCATGCACACCTTTTATTGTTTGTCCTATTGTGCGTACTTCATGTTTATTCGTGTTTATTGAGGAACAATGGCATAGCTTAGCTTCAGGTTACAACATAATGAGTGGACATTTGCACACATTGTGAGATGGTCACCACAATTAATCCAGTTGCGAGCCATCACCATACATAATTGCAACATTTTTTTTTCTTTTTTCTTGTGATGAAGGCTTTTAGGATTTATTTTCTTGGCAATTTTGGAGTGTGTAGTACAGTATTGGTGACCGTAGTTAACAGAGTGCCACTATGGTGACACTAGCAGTGCCCGGGCGTGGAAGAGGTGATAATCCTGAAAAGGTTTTAAACTCCTCACAATCTGTTTCACAAAGGTAGCCCCTACCCCTCACCCCGAACTCCCTGCCCCTGGGCACAGGTGCTGGAGACAAAGTCGACTTTCTGCCCCCTGGGTGCTGGAATCAAAGGTCTGGGAGCCCAAGGCTGAGCTCCCCACCACCCCGCCCTCACTCCAGGGGTTGGCTGCAGGGCCGGTGGCCCCTGCCTGCATCTGTCCTGACCCACCTGCCCCTCCTTCTAGAAACCTGAGCAACAACAAGATCAAGGAGGTGCGAGAGGGCGCCTTTGACGGAGCAGCAGGCGTGCAGGAGCTGATGCTGACAGGGAACCAGCTGGAGATGGTGCACGGGCGCATGTTCCGTGGCCTCAGTGGCCTCAAGACCTTGTAAGCGCTGGGCCTGGGCCACGGCCCGGAGGGAGGTGGGAGGGAGGGCACCGGAGGGTCTGGGAAGGCTGGCGGGCAGCAGACCAGGCCCAGGCATTGGCCTGGCCTCCTGCATCCCCTCCTCCTGGATCCAGAGGCTTCAGACATTCCCAGCCCGTGATGGGGAAGAACTGAGCATGCTAAGCAGCCCCAACACACACACACACACACACACACACACACACACACACAAAATCACACCAGAGGCACACAAACATTTACCCACAAACAGGGACATATACACATGTACATAAAAATGACATATACAACTTGCAGGTAAATGCATACACAACAAGCATGCATACAAGCACACACACACACACACACACACACACACGCACATGGTGTGGCCCTATTGTGGAAGGAGAGGGTAATGCCTATGCTCTCACATCCCCACCTGTCTCCTTGCAGGATGCTGAGGAGCAACCTCATCAGCTGTGTGAGCAATGACACCTTCACTGGCCTGAGCTCAGTGCGACTGCTGTCCCTCTATGACAACCGCATCAGCACCATCACCCCCGGAGCCTTCACCACGTTGGTCTCCCTGTCCACCATGTAAGTCCTCCTGGGTCCACTGCTCCTCCCCTGCAGGCCTCTCCCCTCCCGGCTCCCTGCTATCTCTGCCCAAGGCCGTCTACCCATGTGTCCACTTAACAACCATTTACCGGCCTCCCTCTGTGTGCCCTGCACATCACGGCCTGAGGAGGCACAGGTGTCCTCCCTCCTGGAGCTCACAGCGCAGTGAGTCTCCCCAGAACGAGGCCCGCAGTGCTGTGGGACCCAGCATAGGCTCCGTCGGGGAACACTGGCCCTGTGTTCCAGGAGGGGGGCTAGCTTCTTGAGTGGGAAGTGCATCTCTTCCTGTGGGAAGAGCATGTGCAAAGGCCCTGTGGTGGCCTGGAGCAGAGCAGATACACAGGACCGTACAAATCCCAGCTTCAAGGGGTCGCATCCAAGGGCCAAAGGGACTTGAGTGGCTTTACTCTCCTCACTTGAGAAATGAGAAATGTGGCCTGCTTCCTGGGTGGTTGTGATTTATAAAGTGCTCCGCCTGATCCCAGTCCTCTAGGTCAGCGGTTGCAACCTTTCAGATCTCGTGGACCACCAGCGGTCCGAGGACCACAGGTTGGCGACTGCTGTTCTAGGTGACACTCAGGAAGTGACTGGTGCTATCATCCCTTTGTCCCTCCAGCGGACATGCACAGAGTGTCTGTGCTGGTGTCACACCTGTGCCAGGGGACGCAGAAACAGACAGACCTGAGACCTCCCCTTGGGGGCAAACACGTTGGGCAATCATGACCAGCTCTGGTGGGTGCCACAGAGGCAATGAAGTGAGAGATGGAGGAGAATTTGCTGAAGGTCCTGCAGCCCGAGGGCTGGAGGCTGAGGAGGGCCAGCCAGGTGGACACTAGGGGTTTGTCCCCGCAGGGGGACCTCCAATGTGTGAAGGCTCTGAGAGAGATGTCTAAGAAGCTGGAGGGAGCTCACAGCTGGGGCTCCACAGACAGGTCGTGTGGCTAGGGCCAAGGTCATGGCCATCAGCCGAGGTCCGGAATGGCACTTGCAAAGATTGCATCTGGCTTCAGAAGAGTCTGCATTTCCCTTCCCAGACCTCCTTCCCCTCCCCTGGGCCTGCTGGAGAGCTGGGCCAGCTCCCACGGTAGGGGCGTAAGCACCCAGAGAGGTTCCCTCTTTTCCCAGAAACCTCCTGTCCAACCCCTTCAACTGCAACTGCCACCTGGCCTGGCTCGGCAAATGGCTGAGGAAGCGGCGGGTCGTCAGTGGGAACCCCCGGTGCCAGAAGCCATTCTTCCTCAAGGAGATTCCCATCCAGGACGTGGCCATCCAGGACTTCACCTGCGAAGGTGAGGCAGCTGGGCGGGCAGGGGCACGGCCGGGATGGACAGGGTGTATCAGGAAGGCAAGGACCCTGAGTCTGGTTCTACCCCACCCCCGGACATGCAGCTGGGGCTCGGAAGGGCTCTGCAGGGCGGCTGTCCTGCCATGTGGCTCCTTAGTGCAAATTAAGAAAAGGTGCCTCTTTCTAAAGACATTTTACTTCCATTGGTCAGAAGTTTGTCATAATATATGGATTTGTGACAACAAGATACCGTACAGCTATCCGCTGTGACTCAAATGCCCTCACCTGCCAAGTCCACAGTGAGATTAGGGGACGTGGCCCTCCGTGTAGGGCGCAGCCCGCACCGCTGTGCACGGTGCCCTGGGCCTCGGTCTTGGCCTCGGCTCCTGCCGGCACCATGCTGAAGCTCAGCATGTGCGCTCCTGAGAAACAGACTTCCAAGTGTGCTCCCAGCAGTTCCTGTCATGAGATAGGTGTGTGAACACCTGGACAGCGAGGCTTCACGTGTCAGGATGCCGGAGGCAGATTGTCTGCTTAAATTCAAGCCAGCAGTTTTTCCTTGGCCAACTGGTTTACATACAGAACTGGTTTGAAGATTATCAGAGGTTAACGTGTCACGGAGGGTGGGACATAGTCACCAGGAGGCGGAGGCGGAGGCAGAGGCGCTGTGTTGTGGGAAGAGGCAAGAAAGCAGGAGGAGAGGAGGAAGGGCCTGGCAGGGCTCTGTCCCTACCCCCACCCCTCATTAGTCAGTTTGATTTCTTTCTGAGCGGGTTGACAGTAACCTCTTCCCTGTCTGATACTCTGGCCAATGGAGTTCTCAGAGTCTTCCTGGCAAATGTGGTACAAGACAGGCAGCCCTGCTCCCGACCAGGTGCTCCTCCTCCTCCTCATCCTCCGACCAAAAGTGAGGCCAGCAGGTTCCCTCTCCTGGTCCCGCTGGTAGCCATGGGCTTCCCTTTACTGATGGCACTGGCTTGCCCACTGTCCCCACAAGAGTCTGCCCCCCGCACTCCCAGAGTCTGTCCCCCACAGGAGCCTGTCCTCACGGGAGCCTGTCCCCCATGCTGACTCTCGGGGTCTCCACAGGCAACGACGAGAGCAGCTGCCATCTGGGCCCGCGCTGCCCCGAGCAGTGCACCTGCGTGGACACGGTGGTGCGGTGCAGCAACAGGGGGCTCCGCGCCCTCCCCAAAGGCATCCCCAAGGATGTGACTGAGCTGTAAGTACCCCCTGAGCACCCCGGATCCCCACCAGAGTCATCATTTTCCCCATGTCCCACAAGGCTGCCAGGGTCCCTTCTGACGGACCTCCGCAGGATGGAGCAGAGCCTCGCCAGGCGGCCGGCAGCAGCTCAGACAGGAGATAGCACCCTGCCTCTGCCTGGCTGGTGACAGGTGGGAGGGTCAGTGCCCCCTTTCCTGTGTTCCCCCGGAAGCCTCGGCTCTGCACTCCGCCTTCTAGCTTCCCCACGGATACCAGACACAGCTCAGGGTCGTCGTCAGGACACTGCCAGGGGGCGCCATGGCTCCCCACGCGCTGCTGCAAACACAGCGGCCATTCACAACTGGCACTAGCTCTGGGCGCCTCTTACTCCGCAGCCCACGCTCCCTCCTGGCAGCGCCAGCTCCTCAGGGCGGTGTCTGCCCCAGCTTCCCGGTGAGATGGAGAGATGCCGCTCCCTCCCCGCAGGGCTCGGACTCTTGGGCAGAGAACCTATCTCTGTCCCTCGGAAGCTCCGTCAGCCCCGAGGGCAGGAGGTTGGTCCCAGGAGCAGCGTGCTCACACGCCACACCCTCTCAATTCCTCAATCCTTCCATTCCCACTCAGTGACCGAGCTCACCTGTATCAGCAACACTGCAAACCCTGGGGAGGCGGTGCGAGCCACCTGGTGTGACCCCTCCGTTCGTGGAGTCAGATTTACCAGGGAGGTAGCAAATCTGCTCGCTGGTCCCAGAAGCTACGTGCAAGGAGCCTGTGCTGCACAAGGGAATCATAAAGGGGGAGGCTTGACCTCCACGTGAAGGTCAGAGGAAGCTGCTCTGGGGGTGAAGCTGGAGCCCTGGTCTGAAAAGGAGAGGTGGAAAGTGAGAAGGGGAGGGCTGAGTGGCAGAGCAGGAGGGACTGAGGGACACCTGCCCTAGCAAGACACACACACACACACACACACACACACACACACACACACCCATCCCTCGGGCTTGCATTCTCCCGAGCCAGCTTAACATGAGCCCTCAGACCTCAACAGAAGGAGTCCCAGACACCTCCCGGCTCTCCCACTGCCTCCTGGGTGGGGCCTGAGTGTGCCATTGTCTTGGGTGAGTGCTGCGGCTCCTAGCACCTCCTGTCACTCAGGGAGACAGTAACCGGGGCAGCCAGCTGAGGGAAGGAACAAAAGTCTCCATCTACACTAGAAAGTCTGCGTCAGCCCTGGGCTTGGGCCAAGGCCCTGCCCTCGGAGCTCCATGTGAGCACGTGCCACGTTCCCAGGCAGGCTGGGGGGGGGGGGGGGGGGCTGCATACAGTGACCCCTTTCTGGGCAAATGGAGTGCCGAGGGCCGCAGACGAGCAGAACCTGCTATGAAAACAGAACCACGGATGCTTGCCCGCGGCTCATGAAGCAGAGGTTGGAATAACACAGGTAATTGGCTGTAATTGTAAAGTAAACCTCGGAGCTTGGGGAGCAGGCCTGTGGCCTGCCTTGGAACCGATGGCGCTCCCCTGGCCAGATGGTCTGCGAAGCTCACACCATCTCCACCTCCGTCTCCGGAAGGGAGAGGGGGCAGAGGGCAGGAACGTGGATGCCAGAGGCCATGAGAGCTGCCGGCCCAGGAAGCTGAGGCCCAGAGGCTTCTGGTTCAGGGACACCGGCGGAGTCCAGATTCAGTGATTAATGGACTGGGTGGGAGGGAGCTGGCCTAGCACTGCGCAGCTGCAAGAGGTTAAAGGGTGGGGTCTGGGAGTAAGGAGCAGCCCAGACGGAGCTGTCTCCTCTCAAACCCAGTGAGGATGGTGGCCACGCATGCAGGAGGAGAGATGGAAGCGTGCAGTGAGTGACAAGCAGACAGCGTGTGCCCGGGATGGGGAGAAATCAGGAAACCCTGCCCCCCATCTCCCCTCCCCCCGCTACCCTACCCCCGGGCCTTTAGGGAGACAGAGCAGAGTCCTGTCTGCGGGATTCTCCACAGCTGCCAAGAATAAGGCATTCACTGCTTGCCAGGGCTATGAATGCCGGGTATCTTCTTATGTGACCTCATCTAATCCAACTACCGACAAGGCTGATATTTTTACTCCCATTTTGCAGAAGAGGTAACTGAGGCACAGGAAGGTTGGGTCATTTCTTAAGATCATACTACCAAGAAGCAGCAGGGCTTAGACCTGAATCCGGGGCGCCTGACCCCAAGGCTCATCCTTGAGCCACTAGACTCTTTCTCCCCTTTGGCCAACACCCACGTCCCGTGCACTCTGCTCAGTAGTCCGGCTTGTTGGGGATTTGCACCAGACAGCCACGGGTCTCATTGCAAACGCAGAAGAAGGCAAACCAGCGCCCCTGCCATGATGCCGTGGGTTCTGGTCTGTGGTTCTGGCTGGGTCCTTCCTGCCGGCTGGGTCCAACCTTCCCCAGCGATGCTCTCTGTGCCCTCAGCCCTGGCCAGGCGCCCCAGAGCACTTCCAGAGCTGCTGCCCATCTTTGACTGCCTCCTTGCCTTCCCGTTCTGGCCAGGGAGGGGCACAGAACGCCTGCAGCCAGTTGGAGGGCACTGACCACATCTTCCGAGAGCAGGCTGACTCTGGCGCCGCAGCACTCAGGGTCCTGGCACAGGCTCTGAAAAGCCCTGAGCAGATGGCTTCAGTCGAGGACACTTCTAGTGCCATGACTATCTGGGCGAACAGGGGTGGGGCTGAGGGAGTCCCCATCACTCCGTCAAGTGTTGATTGAGCTTATTGGACCAGATCTGTCGTGGAAGCTGGGAGGACAGCAGCCCACGGGACTGACGAGACTCCTGATCTCAGAAACGTGGACAATACAAACCAGTAAACTAGGCATTTCCGAAAGGAAGTAGAACAGCGCTTCCCAGGAAAATAAAGGGGGAAAGGAGTACAAAGAATAGGTCTCAAGAGGACCACAAGGTGGTAAGACCTTAAGGTCAAGAGGCCGAGGGACCGTGAGATGGAGTGCATAGCGTAGAGTGGGAGGAGGCGGTGTGTGCTGGAGACTTGAAGAGACGTGTGAGTTCTTGTCAGCCGCCAGGAGGGCTGGCTCTCCATCCCAGGAGCACGGGAGCCAAGGCAGAAGCTGAGGCAAGAAAGGGACATGAGCTGACTCGGCTTTGGGAACGTTAGTCTGGAAGCACAGAGATGGTCAGCAGAGCCAGTTGTCTGCCTTCCCATGATCACGTGCATCGTCGGGTGGAGACATATGTGCGCCTCCGTATATGTGTTATATTAAGAGTGCATTGAGCTGAAACCAGTTTGGCTCAGTGGATAGAGCGTTGGCCTGCGGACTGAAAGGTCCCAGGTTCAATTCCGGTCAAGGGCATGTACCTTGGTGGCGGGCACATCCCCGGTTGGGGGTATGCAGGAGGCAGCTGGTCGATGTTTCTCGCTCATCGATGTTTCTAGCTCTCTAGCCCTCTCCCTTCCTCTCTGTGAAAAATCAATAAAATATATATAGATACCCTGTTTCCCCAAAAATAAGACAGTGTCTTATATTATATTAATTTTTTTCTCCCAAAGTTGGGCTAGGTCTTATTTTCAGGGGATGTCTTATCTTTCCATGCACTAGGTCTTATTTTTGGAGGATGTCTTATTTTCGGGGAAACACGATAGATAGATAGATAGATAGATAGATAGATAGATAGATAGATAGATAGATATGTTTTTTTGTTTTGTTTTTAAAGAGTGCATTGAACACCAGTGTGCCAGGCTGCTCCGAGAGCTCTCCCCAGAAACTCCAGTTTAACCTTAATAACCACTCCAGGGTGCTGACTCTTATAAGCCCCACTTTATAGATGAGCAAACACAAGCTCAGAGAGGCTAAGCAACTTGCCCAACTATTAGCTAGTGCACCCAGGATGTGAGGCTCAGCTGGCTGTGCTCTGTCACCACAGGCCCCGGGAGAAATCCTGGTTTCCCTCTCATTCACCAGTCCAGGAGGTGTGTGTGTGGGAGCAGCACACCTGTCAGCACCACAAAGCTCTCACAGAACAAGGAACATCCTTCACAGAGGTCTATGCGGATGTTCACGCAAGACAGACCTGCACTCCTGCTGGGGCTGACACAGCATTTTTTTATTTTTTTATTTTTTTATTTTTTTATTTTTTTCTTCTCAACCGAGGGTATTTTTCCCATTGGTTTTTTGAGAGAGTGGAAGGGAGGGGGAGAGGCCATACAGGACTGTGGTAAGAGTGCAATAAGCCACCCGAGTGCTGTGCGGCCTTGGGCAAGTGTTCTAACATCTCTGCGCCTGTTTCCTCAGCTGTGAGCCCCTGCCGTGTATGGGTGTGGTGAGGGCCGGGTGCACGGCGGGGATTGTTTATCAGCATCTGCTGTGTGCTGCTCTGCAGATGGCCTTGGGGAGACTCTGTACCGGACAGTCTTAGACCAGACCCCACCCTTGGGGAGCCTCGCAGTCCGTGGGGGAGAGGTCATTGGTGGATAATCACACAAACCAATGTTAAGTGACAAATGTGGTGTGTGCCCTGAAGGGGTGGGGGAGCTCTGAGGGCGGAAACCGGGGCCCACCAGTCTGGAAGTCAGGGCCCACGGCGCCTCTGGGGAAATGGCGACGTGGGTGCCCATTGCCCCTCCGTGTCACTGTGCTCCTCTTCCAGGTACCTGGAAGGAAACCACCTCACGGCCGTGCCCAGGGAGCTGTCCGCCCTCCGACACCTGACACTTATGTAAGAGCTCTCTTCTTTCCTGGCGATCTGCTTTCTCCCTGGGTGGGGCAGGGACAGATTGCTGGCAGGGACAGACAGCTGGCAGGGTGGGCCAGCCTGAGGGCCCAGTGAGATGGGAGGGAATGTGCTAGAATCAGGGGAGAGTGTCATCTTATGTGTTATGGATTCTGGTAGAATGAAATGCATGGATAGACATGGAATGGAATGATTGAATAGCTAAATGGATGGATGGATGGATGGATGGACAACAATTGCTTGAATGATTGGATAAAGAGTGAATAAAATATGAACATTTGGATGACTGGGTGGGTAGATGAATACGTGGGTGGGTGATGGGTGGGCAGATTTATGGATGGATGGATGGATGGATGCATGGATGGATAGATGGATGGATGCATGGATGGACAGCAGGCATGTGTGAAAGCTGGGAATGGCTCCCTCAGAGGCAACTAACAAGTAACTGTGACCCTTCTGTTTCCCTTTTCCTAGTGACCTGAGCAACAACAGCATTGGCGTGCTGACCAACTACACCTTCAGTAACATGTCGCACCTCTCCACCCTGTGAGTACGAGGTCGGGCCGGCCATCCTTTTCCCACCCCGTAGGCCAGGCCTGTGCTCCGTGGCCCTCAGCCTGTGGCTGCCCTGCCCAGCGGGCCCGCATCCTCAGAAGGAGAGCAGAGCCGCCCCCGGGCCGTTAGACAGAGCCTGGCCCGCAATCCTGGAGAAGGCCTCTCAGTTCCTTCTGCGCTGTGAGGTTCCTTCCAGGGGGCTGCTCCCTGCACGATTACACTTTGCTCAGGCCATTCGGAGAGCACTCCCCATGCCATGGAGAGGTGGTGCTGGCAGAGCTAGCTGGGCAGCCAGCCCACAGGGGACCCAGAGGGAACCAGGCACAGACAGCCAGGAAGCTCGCTGGAATAGTGGGAGAAGGCCTCTGTGATGGGGTGACCCTCCGTGGCAGAGGGGTGACCCTTTGTGGCGGAGGATGGCCCTCCTTTGTGGGGGGGGTTGACCCTCCATGGTGGGGGACGGCTATCTTGTTCATGCAAGATAGACCTGCACTCCTGTTAAGCTGCTCTTGCCAGTACATTCAAACGGGGAAGATAAGCCACATGCATGACGGTCCCAGGTCGGCAGTGCACCTGTGAGCAGCTGAGACGGGAAGACCAACAGGCACTGTGTCCTTTTCCACAGGATCCTGAGCTACAACCGGCTGCGCTGCATCCCCATCCACGCCTTCCACGGGCTGCGGTCCCTGCGAGTGCTGTGAGTACGGGGCGTCCTGCGCTGGGTGACAGGGGCAGTGCTGAGCACTCCTTCCCTGCTGGGCTGTCCACGGTGCCAGGCCCATCCACTTCCCCCACCGTGACCTCCCCAGCACCCTCCCTGGCTGGATGGGAGGAAGGAGCATTGGCCTTTCCCAGTTCCAGACCAGGACCACATGGGGCACCTTGGGAGAGCCGCCAAGCTCTGAGCTCCGACCTCTTTACGTGTAAATGGGACCCGGGCACCTCCCTGCGAGGTTTAGGAGATGCGGTTATACAGCACGTGTGCGAGGCATGGAGCCGCTGTTTTGAGGATCCCTGTTTCGCCGTTGGTCCCTCCGGCTTCAGAGGGGCGAGGCCTCCACAGGGACACCCAGCACCAGCGAGCTGGGAGCTCAGGGCCCGGCTCACAGACAGCTGTCAGACAGCGATTGGACAGTCTGCTCTTAGACTCTCTTCTTTACAGAGAAGGTCCATAAGTGGCCACCACTGAAGCATCAGGAGGTTTCTCACACAAACCCTAGGAAAATGGAGAGGCTTGGCCATCCCAGGGCTCACCTCCGCATTCCTGCCCGGCAGCACCCTCCCCTCTCTCCCTCTTCCTGCCCCCTCACCCCTTCCTCACCATCTGACACCTGCCTGGCCCTCCCTGCGCACTGGCAGGGACAGCCAGCCCACTGAGACAGCCGGGTCACCTCTTCCCAAGCATAACTCTGCTCTCCCCCCTCCCCCCCCACCCCGCCACTGCAAGACTTCCCGCCCACAAAGTCAGAGAGTAGTGCTAGTTGCCTCACAATCCTTATGAGGACTAAGTCAGATACTGTCTATGAAGCACTTAGCACCGCTCCAGCCACGGGAAACACCTTATAAACATCCATTTGTTATTGCTGTTCCCACATCAGCACTTGCAAAAGCACCTCCCTGGCACCTCCGCCGAAGCCTGGTGACCCTGATTCTGGTGCCTTCCGTCTGGCACAAAGAGGGTCCTTTGAAGGATGCCCCTGAGAGCAGAGATGCCAGACCTTCTGCCCTAACCTTACCCATTTCCTACCCTCTGGCCCATGGTTACTCTGGCAGTGATAATCCTACTGTACGGGCTTTTCGTGGCCATTGCCTCATGGAGCCTTTTGCAACAGTGCAGGAGGTTGAGAGTCTTACGCCCATTTTTAAGGTGGGGAAACTGAGGCCTGGCTTGGTGACGTCACCAGCCTGAGGCCCAGCAGCAGCCAGAGGGCAGTCAGCACACAGCACGTAGTGAGCTGGTCTGTTCCAGAGCCTCCAGGCTGATGCGATTTATTGAGGCCCACAAAAAACACTGGTGTCAGCGACAACTCCGCCACATGTCACCCGCGCTGTTATTAAAAATCAGTCCTCTGGGGGCAGAGGAGGGCCCACGCCGACAGGGTGCCATCTGTTATTGTCACTTATTTATTATTCACCTCCTCCGGGGGCACAGAGAAGGGAAACATCAGCAGGACCAGTCCCCGTTTCCCATCGAGCACACAGGACGTGGGCTCATGCGTCAGCCAGGGCTGGACCTGTCTCCCCCTCTCCCCCGCCCACTCTGCCACCTCTCACCGTCCCCCCTCCATCTCAACCTGTTGTCTCCCACCCCAGCCTTCCCTCGCTGTGCAGGGGTTTGCTGCCAGGAGGGTGACCTCCCGATTTTAATGGAATCCCTGATCACATGTTCATAGTTAGAGCAGTTCTTTTTGGAGGAAAATCAACACGGAAAAGGGAGAAAAGGGGCTATAGGTACAGTCTGAAGTCCACTGGTCCTCACACCAGACACGGAAAAGGGAGAAAGAGAATGAGTGTGTGCCTGTGCGTCTGTCCGTCTGCCAGGTGGTGGGTGAACGTCACCGCAGCCGTCAGCTCCTCAGGGGTGCCCTCCCACGCACAGCCCGCAGGGCCAGCCTCTGGAATTTAGGGCGACGAGGACTTGAGCGCCGTGATTTCAGAACCGCGGCAGCTTGTAGACAGAACTGGGTCTGAGAGGCCCTCATTGCAACCCCCACCTCAGTGGGGAGCAGTCGCTTCTGCCTAAGAGCCAATTCAGGGAAAATAAAAATGTCCACAGGCTGCATTTCTTTTACGATATTCCTATCCTTTTCCCCAGTAACTGCACATGGAGGAATTTATGCCGCAGCCTGATCCAGCGTGAGGGAAAGGCTCTGGGCATTAGGATTCCGGCTGCCTGTTATTTTTAACCTAAACTTTAAATATGACCTCTACACGCCGCCCTGGGGAAGCGTGGAAGGAAAGCACCAGCCGATGGAGGGCCATTACTGCGAGGAGATGAAAACATCGAGGCGGCGGGCGTGGAGACATAGCCCTAATCTGCACACACGTTACCATGATAGCGGGTCACATGGACAGCTCTGAGGGGGCTCTCGGGGAACGAAGACGCGTGAACAGGATCAGGGAGGGCTAACAATTAGTCTCGTCATTTCTGTAATAAAGGAAGGTGGCATTGGAGATGAAGACACTAACATTTTATAATTGAGACAGGAAGGACAAAAAGATGGGGTTTTTCTTTAAATCAGGAATTGCAATACATGCAACTGCTTTTAAGCATTTGTAGGTTTTTTTCATTTTTCAAGGGTTTCGTTATTTTTTTTAAATATATTTTATTGATTTTTCACAGAGAGGAAGAGAGAGGGACAGAGAGTTAGAAACATTGATGAGAGAGAATCATCGATCAGCTGCCTCTTGCATCCCCCCTACTGGGGATGTGCCCACAACCAAGGCACATGCCCTTGACCGGAATCAAACCCAGGACCTTTCAGTCCGCAGGCCGACACTCTATCCACTGAGCCAAACCAGTCCCAGCGGTTTCGTTATTTTTATTAAAATTCAGAAATGACCAATGACCCAAGGATGCTGGCCATTTGGGGTGGGGCAGGAGAAAGAGCCTCAGGTTCGGCCATAGACAAAGGCCGGGAAGTGCTCTGGAAAGCAGGAGAGGAGAGGCAGCGCCCGTGTGTGTGTGTGTGTGTGTGTGTGTGTGCGCGCGTGTGCGTGTGTGTAAATGTACATATGTGTACGTGTGTGTACGTGTGTGCCTGTGTATGTAAATTGTGTGTGTTGGCAGGTGGATATGAATATATTTCAGAGAACGTGGCGGGAGATTGGCCCAGTAGCCCTGAGTACAAAACATTGTGTGAAAACATGCTTTTCCTACTTCCCTCCTCATTTGAAGGAAGTCAGATGAGAACATTCTCATGAACATTCGCGCTCCTCTCCGGGGATCTGTGTGTTCCCCGGTCTGTGTCCCACACCAAGCCACATGCCTTGTGTGCGTGTGGTCCCTGCTGTCACTCCCAGCCCCCGCTGGCCGAGGAGCCACCTGGATTCAGTTAGCACAGGCGGGCTAATGTGATGTGTGTTTGAGGCGGGGAGTGGACTCTCATCCATCATCCTGGTATTTTTAGCTCCTAGTACAATCTCTGGAGTAGGATGGAGTTTGCTGTTTATGCACATGGGGCTCTTCATCAGGCTTCACGCATTGCACAGACCGTGCCCACAGCACGCCTGCCAAGGGCTCCTGTGCCCTTCACTTGATTACCTCCCGAGACCAAGAGCTCACTCCCTTATCAGACAAACTCATTTCCATTTTTTACAGGAAATGCTTTTTATTTATTGTTGACAGTATTACAGAGTTCCCCCATGCCCTCCCTCTTTACCTCCCCCCACCAAGCCCCCATGCCCCATTGCGTTTTGCCCAGCTAATTCTGGTGAACCAAAAGGGGACTCCTTTGCACCTCTAAACCATGGCCCTGGCGTGGCCCTTTGGTGCCTAGAAGGAGACTTTAGAGATGCAGGTAACTGAAAACTTCAGAAGCAGGTGTGGGGCTTGGGCTGGGTGTTGGAAATGTGTCTCTGCCTCTGCCCTAGCCCCAAAAATGTCTCTCATTGGTCCACATAGGTCACATGCTCAACCTCAAACCAGTCACCGCTGTTCCCATTGGGCAGACCTGGGCCATAGCCCCGCCCATGAGGCCAAACCACTTGGACTGAGAGTGAAGGAGAAGGGGCCCCTCATGGACAGGGAGGATCTGCTACAGAAAGAGGAGATTGAAGCCAAGTAACCCCCTTCCTCTCCCCCCCACCCCGCCAGCAGATAACTACTAAGAATGCCTCCATTTCAGAGTGGACAAAACTGAGGCACAGAAAGATTCATTGTCTCAGCTCACACAGCCAGGGATTATCAGAGAGACCCAAGCCCAGGCAGCCTGACTCTAGACCTCGACCCCCAGGTCACCTGCTCGGAAGAGAATCTACCTGCCCCGCCCCACACTTAGAATGAGGAGGGCCCTGACACCCCTCCTACATGCACAGAGCGCCTGGGGTTCAGGCAGCCTGGCTGGAACAGACACAAACAGACAGCTGTGTCCCCACCTTGCTCTAGCGACAGCCTGCTTGTCATCCCTCAGTCCCAAGTTTGCCTTTCACGCCCCTAAGGGTCAGGAGGGGACGTGGAGCCCCAGGTGCCTGGGGCTGAGTCCTTGGGAGTCCAGCCCCTGGGGATGGGGGGGGGGGGCGGAGAAGGGGGGTGGGCTTAGTGCGTGGTGGGGAGAGGGGTCACAGTTGTCCCTCTCCCTGGCCTCCCATGGGAGGGTGCTCAGACAGGCAGGAGCCCCTCTTTGGGAACCAAACCAGGAGCGGGACCCTGCGGCGCGGTGTAAATCACAGCCCCTTGCTGGGCGGTGTATGGAGAGCTCAGAATACATGGGAGCGTGACTTGCAGGAGTCCCAGCGCCAGCGCTGCCTGTGGGTCATTTGCTGTTTTTAAACCAGGTCTCCGTGCCTCTCCAGGAGCCCAGGCCTCGTTCGGAAATGATTAACAGCAGGCTGGGGGGCCTTTGCCGACCAGCAGGCGGCCATGAGGCTCCTAATGGCAGGCAGGAACCGCGTGATTCATAAACAGCCACGTGAAGTCGAGGGGGAACGAGATGGAGACAGACGCAAGGGATAGAGAGTTAGGAAGTGCTGCCAGCCCCTCTTACTGGGGAGCAACAGGGAGGCAAGAAGCCACCTGTGCACTCTGCCCTGCGTCCCGGGAGCGGAGGCGGGTGCTTAGGGTGATGGATGACACCCCACACCAGCTCAGCGTGTCAGTGTCACCCAGAAGCCTGTTAGAAACGCACCCCACCCCCCTGAGCCAGCTCTGGGGACCGGGCTCAGAGGCCTGCCTGCAATTAGCTCCCCTGCCCAGGGGTTTGAGAGCCTCTGTTCTGCATTAAGGATGATTGAGCTCATGTCTGTTTCCGCCGAACCCCGGGGCAGGCTCACATCAGCTACTACTAGAGAAACAGAAGAGTAGATTCCCGAGTGTCGGCCTGTCCTTTGCCCCGACCACGCTAGTCACCCGTTCGTTTCACCCCGGCTCCCTTCACAGCACAGGGGCCTGTGCCCAGCATCCCTCAAGCCGCCTCTGAGAGTCTGTGAACCTCACCCGCCTTGCATCTCACAGGCCAGGCCCGAGGGGAGCCATCAGATGGGGATTGGGGTGTGCAGCCGATGGCTGGTCCTTCTGTGGAGGCTGTAATCCGCGGATTGTGGATTTGCTCGCGTTGTTACTTGAGCCGCGAAGCCCTGTTCACTCCATTTTCCCCCTGAACCTGTTCTCCGGGCACTTACTTGGAGCTCAGTATGTGCCACTTCTCTGCCAGCGGGAATAGCTCCCAGCTACCACCCTGCGGGGTGGAAGGGGGCTGCCCAGCCGCTTGGACAGGCCGTTGGGAAATGCGCTCGAGGCCCACAAGCCCCAGCCCCCTCCCCCCCCCCCCTTTCCCATGAAGGTGAGTGTGAGGCTCCCGGGCAGTTTCCACTGTCTTCTGTCACCTGAGCTGGGACCACAGCATTCCTCACTCCCCATAAGTCTCCCAAGGTGACTACAAAGGGAACCAGTTTCTTGATCTGAACCAGACATTCTCCAAAACCCTGTCACAGATACCAGTAAAGGTTCATCCTGTAGCGCTTAGGAAATGACAATTCTGCGTGGGTTAATGCACCCACCACCACCTTCTGGGGCAAATCTTTTTTTGTTTTGTTTTGTTTTTTTGTTGTTGTTTTTTGTTTGTGTTGTTTTTATGTGGTTTTTTTTTTTTTTTACAGAGAGGAAGAGAGACAGATAGAGAGTTAGAAACATTGAGGAGAGAGAATTGTTGATCAGCTGCCTCCTGCACACCCACTACTTGGGGATGTGCCCTTGTCTGGAATCGAACCTGGGACCCTTGAGTCTGCAGGCCTTCACTCTATCCACTGAGCCAAACCCATTTCGGCAAATCTTTTTATTTTCATTCTCGGTTTACAACAGGAAACTGAGGCCCAGAGAGGGTGGTAACTCTCCCACAGACACACAGCTGGCACGTGGCAGAATCAGGTTTTGAATGGAAGCAACCTGGATGTAGAACTCATGATCTCAGCCACAGTTCTTTGCGTCACCTCTGAAACGCGAGGCCTCCATTAGGGAGCTAGCTCTCCAGCTTTGGGGGTGCACAAATGGAGGCCCAGGATATAAAGTAACTTACCCAGCATTCCACAGCTAAAGGGGACTGGCCCCATCTCCGGACTGTGCAGTACAGCCGTCCGTCCTCTTCCTTCCCAAACCCTCTATCCCCGAGTCCCTGCAGCTGAGCGGGGCATGGGGACCTCCCCGCACCAGCCACAAAGGGCATGATGCCTCCTGCTGCTGGCAGTGGGGGGGCCCCAGTGGAACGGAGGGGCCTGGACCAGCCTGGGACACCAGGGCCCGGAGTCAGGTCCGCCCCAGGTGCTAACCTCCTGCCTGTGCTCTGCCGCAGAACCCTGCACGGCAACGACATCTCCAGCGTCCCCGAAGGCTCCTTCAACGACCTGCCGTCCCTGTCCCACCTGTGAGTACCGCGGCTCTCTCCCCAGCGGGCACCCACTCCGGCGGAACGTGGCCCGTGCCACGGCCCGTGGTGTCCACGGCTGATGTGCATGGGAGGCTGCGAGAGGAAAAGGAAGACCCAAACCAGCCAGGGTGCCCAAAACTTACTTACACCCCTTTCCACCCAGAGAAGAATAAATTGTGGGGAGTCACGGGACATATGCTCGAGGACCGTGACTGGGAAATAGATGGGGAAGCTGATGTAAAAGTGGGGTTATTGCAGTCCGTCTGCACGTTCAGAGACTCCCAGTCTCCGGTGATGAGTGTCCTCCTGGTGACCCGCTTGTAGGCAGGAAGAGGGAAGTCAGAGAGCCCTTGCTGCATCTGCTGGTTCTCAAGCGCCTTCAGCTCAAAATACACAGCATCCCAAAGAGCTATGTTGAGGGTGTGTTCTGAGCTGGGCATCAAACCTCCTCGGCAGAGAGCGCCCTCCAGTGGACGGGCAGGGGAGCGATAATGCGATGAGAGGCCTGGAAGCTTCCTGGCCGCTCTGGAATTGAGGTTGTTGAGGTCGGGCAGAGGATTGTCTTACTGGGGTGGGCAAGAACAAAGCCTCAAAGGCAGAGGGGCTGGGCTGGGGTTGAAACATCCCCAGGTGCTGGAGGTACAGTCTGAAGTCCACTGGTCCTTACACCAGACACACCCAATCTAGCCAGAGCCCCAAGATGCCGCTCTCCCAGGGGGCCAAGGGTATGGAGCCTGGGGCCCAGCTGGGGGGGGGGGGGAGACCCTTACTTCCTGCTCTTCCCCCCAGGGCACTGGGCACCAACCCGCTGCACTGTGACTGCAGCCTGCGCTGGCTGTCGGAGTGGGTGAAGGCGGGGTACAAGGAGCCCGGCATCGCCCGCTGCAGTAGCCCCGAGGCCATGGCCGACAGACTGCTGCTCACCACCCCCACCCACCGATTCCAGTGCAAAGGTAGGTACTGGTGCCTCCCCTCCAGCCAGCCCCTCTGCTCTCGGGCTTGGCTCTGCCCCCAGCAGCCTGTCCGAGCTGGCCTTGAGCAGATGGGGCGCCTGCAGCCACCACCCTGCCTGCCATGGTCACACTCAGAGGCTGATGCATCATCATGATAGCAAACTACTACTGGGTCTTATTGTGAGGCCCAGTATGTTAAGCACTTTCTCTTTTTCTTTTTCTTTTCTTCCCATCACCGTGTGTGCCCACTAGTAAACCTTTTTTCATGTGTTGTTTCATTCCATTTTCACTTTCCATGTATTAATGTACTTACTCCCTCAGAACCTTTGTGGGGTACACACTAGAATCAGCCTCATTTAAAAAATGAAATCACCGAATCTGGCCGAGGTGAAAAGATATCTCACGGCCACCTGTGGGAGGGTGCTCGGCCTTGCTGATTCCAGAATTCATGCTCTTGGGCCCCAAGCTGTACTCTCAGCCAGGCTTCTCCTGGGCCTCAGGTGTACTCCCATCATGGCTTCTCTCAGGCCCCAGGTGTATCCCCACCACAGCTTTGCTCAGTCTCCAGGTGTACTCCCCCACAGCTTCTCTCAGGCCTCAGGTGTGCTTCCACCAAGGCTCTATAGCTAAAAGTCACATCTCTTTATATTTTTCTGTCTCTGATTGCTAGAGAAACTGATTTTTTTCCCCAAAAATTTACTTCCTATCTGTGTTACATTTGTCCACTCTTGTCCTTTGCTCAGCTCTTAGAGCCGTACTATTTTTCTCCTGTTTGGTTGGGGTTTTTTTACCACGTACTTCAGCCACCCTCCACACTGCCAATGTCCTCGGGACACCGTGTGCCTGGGGCTGCCTCTGTTCTAATGGGAATCCCAGGGCCCAGCCCTTGGGGTGGCTCTCCCTCAGGCCATCTGGTCACCAACCCACAACGGCCCCTCTCCCACTGGCTCAGACTGAACCCAGTCTCTAACAGGATGGCCGTTATCCTGGGTTCATTTCAAGTCCTAACAGGAAGCAGGGCCAGTTCACCGGGGGCTACTCTCCAAGCTGGCGACAGCCCAGCTCTGCGGGGACCACGTCCCTCCCTGCGGCCCTCACAGCCGGAGAGCAGGACACGTGACAGCGTCGTGGGTGCAGGGTCCCAAGCCTGGCCGCCCTGGTCAGCACCGTGGCCGTGTCCTCGCCGCTGGGTCTTCCTCCCGCATGACGGGCTCTGCTTCCTTGGCCCAACCTGTGTCCTCCATGGCCAGGCCCTGACCACTCTCGGGGGTTGCAGGTGGAGGGAGGGTTTGTTTGGGGCAGAGGAGGGCAGGTCCCAATGAAGCCTGGGCTGGGAGTTTCCAGAACAAAACAAAAGAGATACGCACAGGTTTCCTGATTACAGTGCGTTGTTTGCAGAAGAGCACCCAAATGTAAGGTGACCAGAGGTCCCGGACAGTCCCGAATTTTTAACAATTTGTCGTGTGTCCCGCGGCGTTTTAAAAAAGTCCCGATTTTTTGAAAAATCGGGACTTTTTTAAAATACCGTGGGACACATTGTTAAAAATCAGGACTGTCCCGCCAAAAGCAAGACGTCTGGTCACCTTACCCAAATGGGATCAGGCTAATGACAGTCATTGGTTTGACTGCCGAGGTGCTTCTGAAGGACGGCCTGCTGTGCTCTCCCCTCCCAGACCATGGCCAGATGGATGGGGCTCTGGCTGGGCGGAGTGTGTGGGCGGGGATGGGAGGGGCCTCGGCCTGTCGAGCAAGGGGCCAGAGCTAGGGGCCCGCCACCGACCCCCTGTGGTTTTCCTGTCCAGGACCAGTGGACATCAACCTTGTGGCCAAGTGCAACGCCTGCCTCTCCAGCCCGTGCAGGAACAACGGGACGTGCAGCCAGGACCCCGTGGAGCTGTACCGCTGCGCCTGCCCCTACGGCTACAAGGTAGGCCGGCGGCACGCCCTTCCCCCTCTTCTCCCCCCACTGGCCTCGGCCCCAGCAGGGTCTGTGCCTCCGGGGCAGCCGGGGTGACCCCGTGTCACAGGCCACCCCAAAGCGGCATGTGCTGGTAACACGCCTGTTCTGCTGGTGCCAGCCACCAGGACCCCCAGGTCTCAACAGCCACGGAGACAGGGAGGAAATGGGGCAGTGCGTCTGTTAGACGTGGGGAAAGGAAGTCAGAGAGGCTTCCGGGAAGAGGCATCCCTTAAAGCCACTCTCTAGGCTCCCCTTCCTCGAGGATTTCCAGACTCCACCCCACCCCAGCTCTGCCCTCAGGACACCCAGCCCCGAAAGTCCCAGCCCAGCGGAGGAGGACACAGGGTGAGGGGCTAAAAGGCCTAGGGCAGTAGTCGGCAAACTCATTAGTCCACAGAGCCAAATATCAACAGGACAATGATTGAAATTTCTTTGGAGAGCCACATTTTTTAAACTTAAACTTCCTCTAACGCCACTTCTTCAACATAGACTCGCCCAGGCCGTGGTATTTTGTGGAAGAGCCACACTCAAGGGGCCAAAGAGCCACATGTGGCTGGCGAGCTGCAGTTTGCTGACCATGGGCCTAGGGCCGCCACGCCACCCGACAGGCTCAGGGCAGCCAGCAAGGCCGGAGAAATAAAACGCGTATTCCAGCTGATTCTTTTCAGCCAGGGAGCTCCCTGCACGGACATCCAGGGTCTGGAAACAGGCTTCTCACTTCCGTGGGCACAGGAGTCTCCCCGGAGCTGAGTAACCTGCAGGTCCTGACTTAGCAGACCTGGGTCAGGCCCCAGGTTGCTGCCAGTCCGGGACCATGCTCTGAGTAGCAAGGTCCCTGGGCGGCCCTCCTGGCCCACCTCAGGCAGCGGTTTCCAGTGGGGTGGCTGTCCCCCGTTTCCTTCAGAGGCAGCCGCACCCCGGCCCTGTCCTTCACGGGCACACTCAGGGGTGGGGGCGGGTAGGCCAGGAGCATCACGGAGCCGGTGGGTTTGAGCACAGCGAGGCTGAAGAAAGTTGAGTCGGGCTAATTAGCCAAGCACCGAGCACGGGGTTATTCCTCAAGGATGCGATGACAGAAGCCCAGCCTGGGGGCTGAGTGGCCGTGTTGTCAGTGTCAGCTCTGCCTCCTGGATTCCTGTGCTCAGCAGGAAGGGTTCCCAGGGAGGGTTCCCCCTTGAGCCCCTGGTACCTGAAAGTGCCCAGAGCCGAGAGGCTGGTCCATGCAAGGGCTGGGGGGGGGGGGGGGGGATCCCATCTTGCCCACCTTGACCTGCTCAAGTTCCCCTGCCCTTCATGGCTCATTTGTTCAACACACACACACACACACACACACACACACACACACTCTCTCACACTCACACTCACATTCACTCACTCACACACACACACTCTTCTGAACAATCAGCACCTGAGAAGCCCTCCTCCTCAGCAGAATGGCTATTTACAGAGCTGCAGGCCTCACCAGTGCCTCACGTGCAGGTGGTAGCTCATCACCGTCCGCTCTGTGGTGAGGGAGTGTCACAGGTGGTGAAAGCAAGGCCCAGGCAAGTCTCTCCCTTGAGGCACCCGGAGCGGGTGTGCCCCCACCTCTACCTCCCTCAGCAGCCTGTCTGAGGGATGAATGGCCGGCACAGGGGCCCGGATGGCTCTGGACTGAGGCCGGGGTTCAGCTGCTGCCTGGTCCGCTCACTGCCACCTCGCCCTATCATCGCACTTCCCATGTCAGCTTTCCTGTCCGCAAAAGTGGGGTACTCATCATCATATCAGCCCCAAAAAGCTGCTATGAGCATCATATGTGATGGTGAAGACAGAGCACTTAGCATGAGGCCTGGCGTGGAAACATGCTCTGTGAGCCCATGTGGAAATGGGGATGGCCACACTGACTCCCAAGAGGGCTCCCAGGTGCTATGATTTAGGATAAATCCCACGCCACCTGCATTCGCCACACCTCTCGGAAAGCCCTGCCTGACCCTTTAAACGAGCCTGCGGGGCAGGAAGGGAAGCAGGCAGCCATGGCTGCTGGGACGGGCCTGAGGCTCCGGCCACTGGGACGGTGGAGGCCGGCGAGCCACCTCAGTCCTGTGCCCAGCTGGCAGCGGCGGCCAGGCAGGGAGCACAGGCCACTCTTCTAGGCCCAGGAAGCAGTCAGAGAGGGGAGAGGATGTCCAAGAAGACGGTGAGCAGGTGGTGTGGTAGTGGGAGGGCTCCGTGGTCACCCCTGCCTGGCATGGTGCCCATAGGCCAGGAACCAACACAGTGGGCACCTCCCCAGGCCCCACAGGGCCTCCGAGGGACTGTTTGCCAAGCCTGAGGTGCAGCACTGGCCCATGGGTGCCAGGGGAGAAGCTGGAGTCAGGGGCAGCCGGCTTAGCTTCTTCCCCATGCCTGCGACCCGCTGTCCCTGGTGGCTCCTTTCAGCTCAAACGTCCCCTCCAGACACACACACACACATACACACACACTCACTCCAGAGGCGCCTGTGCCAAAGGACCCCCACCCACCCACCCAGAACTCTCTCACAGGGTCTCAGGCTGCACGTGAGAATCACCCACAGAGCTTGAGTGTAAATACCAGCACCTGAGCCCACGTCCGGGCCAGTCGATGAACTCGGGGTGTCACTTACTGTAAGAGGGACAAGGTCTGCCGGCCACGTCCTCCGTGTGGACTGTATTCAAGCCTCAGTGAGGCTAATCATGACATCACCTCCTAGGATGTATAGAATGCCTACTGTGTACCAGGTGTGCTATGCAACGTTAAGTACTTTCTTATAAGAAACGTCTGGTTTAAGTCTCATAGCAATGGTATGAGCTAGGCTTGCAGAGGTTAAAAGGCTTCGACAAGGTCGAGGTCAGCCAACCAGGAAGAGACGAAGCTGCCATGTGAATCCAGATCCCATTTAGAATAGAAGAGAGAGAATGTTGTGAATTCTGGGGTTTAGAATAGAAGAGAGAGAATGTTGTGAATTCTGGGGACCCAGGCTCCTCAATCCTCTACACACCTCCCCCTCTCATTAGGGAGCCCCCTAATGAGAAGGGGAGGGCTCCCTTCTTATTCAGCAAGGGCTCCCTATGGCTTTCTTCACGTCATCTCATGCATGTCCCAAACCCTGCTATCTCCCCAACCCCATCCCAGAGGATGCTGGGAACTCCCAGGGGTCTCCTGAGTCCCTGAGAGCCTCCCTAACGGGGTGCTTCTCCCCTTTCTCCGCAGGGCAAAGACTGTGCCACACCCATCAACACCTGCGTCCAGAACCCCTGTCAGCATGGAGGCACCTGCCACCTGAGCGAGAGCCACAAGGATGGCTTCAGGTAACAGCTCACCCTCTGCCTATCTTCCCCCAGGCTCTGTGGGCAGAGCTGGCACTGAGGGTCCCTGTGCCCACACTGGGCCAAGCCCTTGGTGTGGGTGGTTGCCAGGCTCTTCCTGGGTTACTCTCGGTAGCCGGGTCTCAGGAATTTGCAGTGGCTGACTAAGGTCAGAAGGGGGCGCTGATGGCTCAAAGAGCCATCCACCTGGTGATGCCACCACTCTTTCTTCTGGGACATAAAAGTAACTTTAATAGTAGGCGCCGTTGAGTACATGCTCACATGTGCCAGACACTGGCTCGTCAAGTGTGTTCTAAATCCTCTCAACGAGGCTCTCTGGTACTGGCACGTACTGGCCTGGCTTAACAGATGAGGAAACTGAGGCACAGAGATTGATTTGCTCTGGGGCTTGTGTCCCCTGACTCTCCTTCCTGAGTCTTCCAGCCCCACCTCTTGTCCCTGCATTCAGAGCTCGGGAAGAAGGGGGCAGCTGAATGGAATAAGGAAATGTATACAAGGGGATATGACCAATAAACTAGAACAAAACCCACCATTCCCAACAGCGGGGGTGAGGGCACTCCGCTAAATCAAACAAGTCAAACAGAGGAAGTCAAATACCATATGATTTCATTTGTGTGTGGAATTTTTTTTTTTTAATCAAAAATGGCCGAAACCAGTTTGGCTCAGTGGATAGAGCGTCGGCCTGCGGACTGAAAGGTCCCAGGTTCTATTCCGGTCAAGGGCATGTACGTTGGTTGCGGGCATATCCCCAGTAGGGATTGTGCAGGAGGCAGCTGGTCGATGTTTCTCTCTCATCAATGTTTCTAGCTCTCTAGCCCTCTCTCTTCCTCTCTGTAAAAAATCAATAAAATATATATATATTTTTTTAAATCAAAAATGAAAACAGACTCATAGAAAGAACAAACCGATGGTGGGGGTGGGATGGAAAAGGTGAGGGGGCATATGGTCAGTAATATCCAATGACTTTGCACGGTGACACCTGGTTACTGGACCTAGTGTGGTGATCACATCCTAAGATTCATAAATGTTGAGTCACTATGGCGTACACCTGAACCCAATATAACATTGAATGCCAACTATAGTTTTTAAAGCAAGAAAGGGATAGAAGCCATGTATGTTCTTTTCCTCTCTGTCCCAGGAGGGGCCCTTCTAGACCCCTGCCAAGTGTGGGCCCCCTCCTGCTCCCTACCCTCTCAGATGCCCAGTTTCCCAGCCCAGGGCCCTGGCAGAAGCAGATGGGTTGGTCGGTACAGGATGGGGCTCCCTATGCCGAGCTCAGGTTGCACGCAGTTGATTTTCAAAGGCAGGCACTCTGGCCCGGGGCTGCCGTGTGGTCTGTGAAGGAAGTCAGATTCTGGGCTCCAGTTCTCCTCCCCAGGCCCCCAGCCCGCCCACGCCAGCCCTGTCAAACTGTGAGTCTTGAAAAATGAAAAGCCAGGCAGAGTTTGTTTTCCTGCCTGGAGTGGGCCAGATCCTCACACCCTCTCCTGAGAGCAGGGCCCAGGGGAAGCCACGGAAGTCTCTCAGTGGCATCCTCTGGGCCCCAGCCAGGAAACACACCTGGAGGGGGAAAGCCCGGCTCTGCCCACCAGCATCTCATTGTGGTTTTAATTTACATTTCTTTGGTGATTAGTGACCCTGAGCTTCTCTTCATGTCTGTTGGTCATCCACATGTCCTCTTTGAAGAAGTCCTCTCATTCAGATCTTTTGCGCATTCTTTAATTGGATTGTTTATTTTTGGTGTAGAGATTTATACGGTCTTAATAAATTTTGGGAATTAACCCCTTATCCAATGTATCATTGGTGAATATGCTCTCCCATTCCTTGGGTTTTCTTTCATTTTGTTGATGGTTTCCTTTGCAAAAACTCTGTAGTCCCATTTGTTTTTCTTTCGTTTTTCTTGCCCAATAGCTCATTATTGGTGTATAAAAATGCAACTGATTTCTGGATATTTATTTTGTATCCTGCCACTTTACTGAATTCATTTATCATCCTGATAGTTTGTTTTTGTTTTTGTTTTTTGGGGGGGTAATCTATATACATAGGTTCTATATGACATGATATTATAATATATATAGAAAACCCCATGCATGGTATTGTATATAGAAACACTGTATACAACTGTATCAAATATTGGCAGTTTTACTTCCTCCTTTCCAATTGGGGTGCCTTTTATTTCTTCTTCTTATCTGATTGCTGTGGCCAGTACTACATTGAATTAAGAGTGGTGAACGTGATGAAACCGGTTTGGCTCAGTGGATAGTGCGTCGGTCTGCGGACTGAAGGGTCCCAGGTTTGATTCCGGTCAAGGGCATGTACATTGGTTGCAGGCACATCTCCGACAGGGGGTGTGCAGGAGGCAACTGGTCGATGTTTCTCTCTCACCGATGTTTCTAGCTCTCTATCCCTCTTCCTTCCTTTCTGTGGAAAATCAATAAAATATGTTTATTAAAAAAAAAAAAAAAGAGTGGTGAACTCAGACATCTCTATCTTGTTCCCCGATTTTAAGAAATGTCTATAGTTTTTGCCCATTGAGTATGACGTTGGCTGTGGGTTTGGTATATATGGCTTTTATTATGTTGACGTATGTTCCTCTATCCCGACTTTGCTGAGGGTTTTTATCATAAATGAGTGATGGCTTTTATTGAATGCTTTTTCTGCATCTATTGATATGATCATGAGTTTTTTTAACCTTCCATTTGTTTATGTCATGTTTATTGTTTTATGGGTATTATACCAACCTTGCATCATGGTGCATGATCTTTTTAATGTATTGCTAGATTTGGTTTGCTAATATTTTTATTGAGGATTTTAGCATCTATGTTCACCAGGGATATTGGCCTATAATTTTATTTCTTTGTTGTGTCTTTATCTGGTTTTGGAATTAGGATAATGCTGGCCTCATAAAATGAGTTTAGGAGTCTTTGCTCCTCTTGAATTTTTTTGGAATAGTTTGAGAAGAAGAGGTGTTAGTTCTTATTTGAATGTTTGGTAAAATTCACCTGAAAAGCCATCCTGCCCGGGGCTTTTGTTTGTTGGGAGTTTTTTATTGCTGCTTCGGTTTCAATAGTTGTAATCTGTCTATTCAGATTCTCTGATTCTTCCTGAATTCGTTTTGGAAGGTTGTATGTTTCTAGGAATTTATCCATTTCTTCCATATTTTCCAATTTCCTACAATCCTTTGTATTTAATTGGTGTCAGTTTGTTGTTTCTCCTCTTTCATTTCTGATTTTATTTATTTGGGTCCCCTCTCTTTTTTTTTTTTCTTTCTCTTTTTTTTTTTAATCTATTTAAAAGTTTGTCAATCTTGTTTATCTTTTCAAAGAACCAGCTCTTTGCTTCATTGATCTGTATTTTTTTTTACTCTATTTCATTTATTTTTGCTCTGATCTTTATTACTTTCTTCCTTCTACTCATTGTGGGCCTTGTTTGTTGTTCTTTTTCAGGTTCCTTTCAGTGTAAAGTTAGATTGTTTATTTGAGCTTTTTCCTGTAATACTATGAATTTCCCTCTTGGTACTGCTTTCCCCGTGTCCCACAGATTTTGGTTTGTTTTGTTCTCATTTTCATTTGTTTCATTGTATCTTTTGATTTCTTCCTTGATCTTATTGTTAACCCAGTAACTGTTTATTAACATGTTATTGAGCATCCATGTCTCTGTTTTTCAGTTTTCTTCCTGTGATTGATTTCAGGTTTCATAGCATTATGGTCAGAGAGATGCTTGATAATGATTTCAATCTTCTTAAATGTGTTAAGACTTGTTTTGTGTCCTAACATGTGGTCTATTCAAGAAAATGTTCCATGTGCACTTGAAAAGAATGTGTATTCTGCTGCTTTGGGGTAAAATGCTCTGAAGATACCAGTTAAATCCATTAGATCTAGTGTGTCATTTAAGGCCACTGTTTCCTTGTTGATTTTCTGCCTTGAAACTCCATCCAGAGAGAAACCTGACTAATTATACCCCCCTCCCACCTTATCTGCCACTCAACCCACCCCACTCCCCTCCTCTCTACCCCATCCGTCCCCAAAGTTGCTCCTGCCCTCTGGGCTTTGAAGGACAGCGATGTGAGATCAACCCGGACGATTGTGAGGACAATGACTGTGAGAACAACGCCACCTGTGTGGACGGGATCAACAACTATGTGTGTGTGTGCCCGCCTAACTACACAGGTAAGGCCCCTGACGCCTGAGTGGGGATTGGTGCATGGGGGAAGAGGGGGAGATCATGCACTAAGCACACCATTTTCCTAGCTATTTCCAGGGACCCCTTTTCCTTCCCCCCATAGACAGAGGCTTGAACCCCTATAACCCCACTATGGGCTCCCCAAAGGCCCCATCTCTTCGTTTGTCCTTCCGGCCCCACAAACTACTAGCTCCTCCCCCTCTGGAACAGGTTCCCAGGGCCCTCCCAGCTGTCTGTTCACTCGGTTGGTGGCCACCCCTCCCTTGAAAACTGGAGAGCAGGGGTGTTGGAGGCTAGCAGAGGCCCGTGCATCCTGGATGTTGTGTTCAGGTCTAGTCAGCCTTCTCTGGAAATCTACACTTTGCAGACACTGTAATGAGCCAAAGACGCAAAAGTGAGCAAGACAGAGCTTCTTCTCGCAAGAATTCATGAGAGAGAGAGAGAGAGAGAGAGAGAGAGAGAGAGAGAGAGAGAGAGAGAGGAAGGAAGGAAGGAAGGAAGGAAGGAAGGAAGGAAGGAAGGAAGGAAGGAAGGAAGGAAGGAAGGAAGGAAGGCGAAAGAAAGAAAGAAAGAAAGAAAGAAAGAAAGAAAGAAAGAAAGAAAGAAAGAAAGAAAGAAAGAAAGAAAGAAAGAAAGAAAGAAAGAAAGAAAGAGTGACAGACACAAACTGATACCTGAGCCCAGTGTGTGTGGGGCCACAGAGAAGGAGCCTCACCCATTGGGGACTAAGCGGGGATTCCCACCGGAGGCTGGTACTCTCCCCACCACAACCCCAGTAACACCCCCATTTCCTATATTAACAGCCCTAGTGAGGACAGTTACAAGTACATCAGTGGTGAAGCCATCCTGGGCATTTATGGCCTGATAGGCACTTCGTGGCGCTGTGAACTTCAAAGAGATGTATGCAGAGACCAGGCCTTCCGATGGTTGCTCCTCTGAGAGCATCCGAGGGCTGGCTTGTCTGTAGCAGGTGGGCTGTGCTCTAAGCCACATCCGGCCACCAGGAAGCCGCTGGGCCTCCCTGGAGCTCACCCCGCTCCCATCTCTGGGTCGTCCTTGCCTGCTTGTTTGCAAACCTAGGCCATGGGGAGGACACGCCCCCTCGCAGTTGTGTCCCGGGCACCTGGCTCAGTGCCTGCCCTACAGGAGGTGCTCAGTAAACAGAGTAGAAGAAAAAAAAAAACAAAAAACAAATAAGCGTAGCCCAAGGTTAGGGTGAAACAGCCGAACGGTGGTGCTGTGACTCTTCCGGTTGTCACCGGGGAAACCAAGGCGGGGCCAGGAGAAACCGAGGGAGCAAATAGTCCCGAAGCCCACGCCTCTGAGGCCAGGTGCTCTCCCTCCCGCAGGTGAGCTGTGCGATGAGGTGATCGACCACTGCGTGCCGGGGCTGAACCTCTGCCAGAACGAGGCCAAGTGCATCTCGCTGGACAAAGGATTCAGGTCAGCGGGCTCCTGGGGTCTGCAGCAGTGGCTTGCTCTCCGCTCTCCCCATATCGCCCTTCTCGGAGCTGGTGTAGGAGAGACCCGCTGGGGAAGCAGGGTTCACGGGGGACAGGGTCCCCTGCTCTGTGCACAGCCTCACAGCGGCGCTCTGCCTCCGTGGCTCCCCGAGTCTGCCCACGTTGCCCATGATGCCTCTGGTCAGGAGGGGGATGCGCTCTGACCCTCAGCAGCCGCATTGGCGGGGCTGTCCCTGCAGCTGTGGGCACTGGTGGTGTGGAGCAGCCTGGCTCTCTGGTTCCAGGTGCGAGTGCCTCCCCGGCTACAGCGGGAAGCTCTGCGAGGTGGACGACGATGACTGCGCGGCCCACAGGTGCCGCCACGGGGCCCAGTGCGTGGACGCGGTCAATGGCTACACGTGCCTCTGCCCCCAGGGCTTCAGGTATGGCGGAGCCTGGGCCCGGAGTTGCCTGGGCCGGGTGGAGGGCGGGGGCTGGGGACAGGTGGCTATTCTGCAGAATAATTACTGGTGTTCTCCCCACCATGCCCGGCCCTGGGTCTGGGTGGCACCTGTATCCCCACACTGTCCTCTGCCGCCGAGGCCCAGGCAGATGCTCTCCGCCCCGTGTGCAGAGGGGAGAAGAGCCACCGGCCAGCCATGCGGGGGTTGGACCTGAGGCCCAGCTCATGTCAAACTCAGGCATGGCTCCATCTCATGGGCGCCTGGGGCCTAGAGAAGGGAAAAGACCCGCCAGTTAGTGTCTGGCAGAGACCAGGCCCCGTTCCCATGGCGCACCCCTTTCTGCTCGGGCTCGGGCTGAAACACGGGTCTCTCCCCCCATCACCCCTAGCGGGCTCCTATGTGAGCACCCCCCGCCCATGGTCCTGCTGCAGACCAGCCCCTGCGACCAGTATGAGTGCCAGAACGGGGCGCAGTGCATCGTGGTGCAGCAGGAGCCCACCTGCCGCTGCCCCCCGGGCTTCGCCGGCCCGCGCTGCGAGAAGCTCATCACCGTCAACTTCGTGGGCAAGGACTCCTACGTGGAACTGGCCTCCGCCAAGGTCCGGCCCCAGGCCAACATCTCCCTGCAGGTGGGCCCTCACCCCTGCCCCACCCTCAACTACCCTCTCCCCCCACCCACCCCCTACCCGTAGTCCCTACCCCCTATCCCTTGCTGCAGGCTCAGTTCTGCTGGCTCTGAGAACAGCAGGGAGGCCCAGGCCATGCAGCTTTTCTCTCCCCGCCCCCCACCCCACAGCAGCATCAAGGCTGCACTCAGCTTTGGGGTCTGGGCCAGCTCCCACACTCTGGGCAGCCCCACTTCCTGCCTCATTCCTTCCTTCCTTCCTTCCTGTAGGACAGTGGTCGGCAAACCGCGGCTCGCAAGCCACATGCGACTCTTTGGCCCCCTGAGTGTGGCTCTTCCACAAAATACCATGGCCTGGACGAGTCTATTTTGAAGAAGTGGCGTTAGAAGTTTAAGTTTAAAAAATGTGGCTCTCAAAAGAAATTTCAATCATTGTCCTGTTGATATTTGGCTCTGTTGGCTAATGAGTTTGCCGACCACTACTGTAGGAAATACTCAGGCAGCTGTTACACACTGTGGGAAGTCAATAGTGGACAGGACGGGTAAGCCCGTTGTCCGAGCAGGTTGACAAGGAAAGGGACGGTGACAGCCCTGGTGTTGTGGGAGCACGTGGCAGGGCGGGGATCCCGGCTGCTGGGAGGAATCCGGGAGGGCTCCCCGGAGGCAGTGATTATGAAGCTAAGATTCGGAGGAGGACTAGGAGTTTGCCTGAAGAGGGGCAGTAGGGTGAGGGGGCAACAGGGCAGACTGAAGAGGGGTGCAGTCTAGTACCTGGACACCCAGATGTCCTGTCAGGCCAGCTGCTGCATACCCGTCTTCCGGGCTTTGTGTGTCCAGGCGGTGGGAGTTGCAGACAGTCAGAGAACCCCATCCGCAGCGGGCCTGACAGAGGGGTGCCTCTGGAGCCCATGGCGGTCAGCCTTGGCGACACGTTACTCAAATGGTCCTTGCGTGGGCCCCACCCCCAGACTCACGTGTAGTGGTTTGGGCCGACACTGATGTTTAAAAAACTCCCCAGGTGACTCTTAGCACTGTGCCTGGTCCATAATAAACTGAACCAACGGTGATTGCTAGCATTTAATGTCTAACTATTCTCACACCTCACGCAGAGACCGAGGCCGACGGGCAGGCACTGGGTGTGACCATGAACCAGGGGGAGCGCTAGGCCCGAGCGCAAGGCTCCTGACGGCTGGGAGGGGGGGTGGGTGTGAACATAATGTGATGGGGGCTCCGTAGGCGTGTGCTGCACTGAAGCAGCGTTTGCTGGGGCGTGAGCACAGGCCTACCTCTGGCCATTCACGGTCCAGAGGGGAAGGAATGGGGACGTGAATGCCGGGGGTCGCTCAGAAGATACCACCTAGAATAAGGTGACCAGACATCCCGCTTTTGGCGGGACAGTCCCGATTTTCAACAATCTGTCCCGCATCCTCCGGCGTTTTAAAAAAGTCCCCATCAATTTTTAACAATTTGTCCCGACGGGACTTTTTTAAAACGCCGCGGGATGCGGGACAAATTGTTGAAAATCGGGACTGTCCCGCTGGTCACCTTAACCTAGAAGCCAAATCCGGGAGGTAGGCTGGGGAGGGCAGACCCCTGAGGGGAGCCTAACGGCATCCCTCTCCCCAGGTGGCCACGGACAAGGATAATGGCATCCTCCTCTACAAGGGAGACAACGACCCGCTGGCGCTGGAGCTGTACCAGGGCCACGTGCGGCTGGTCTACGACAGCCTGAGCTCCCCGCCCACCACGGTGTACAGGTAGGACCCGCACACTCCACCGCACACCCTCCCGCCTGCGCCGGCCCTGGGAGGCAGTGCCAGGGCGCCTCTTCTCACTGCCCTCACCTCCCCTCCCCAACACAGACACACCTTTCCCCCAGGAGAGGAGGGGCTGCGGAGGAAGGGGGCTGGAGGAAGACGCAGGAGGGGAAGGCCCGGGAGGGGAGATGGCACCTCATTTCCATAAGATAAATGGCCAGCAAGGACTGAGGGAGCCCGCGCTCCAACGGGGACATGGCTGCTTAATGAGATGCCCTTTTCGAAATGTCACCCTAATCTTTTATTAGTTTAAGAGAGAAAATGCAGAGATTAGCTTGCATCTCGGGGGGGGGGGGGGGTGGAGGGGCTGGCGCTCCAGAGCTCCAGGGACAGGCCTGCTCCCAAGGTGACCTTCAGACGGCTGTGAAGGACAGCCGTCCCCAAGCGCCAGTCCTTCCCGGTCACCCTGGTTTTCACACGATCGGGGTGCCGGCTGGGCACGCTGCTTTGCATCCACTTGAAGGCTGCTCACTTTTTTTTTTTTTTTTAATATATTTTATTGATTTTTTTTACAGAGAGGAAAGGAGAGGGATAGAGAGCTAGAAACAACGAGAGAGAAACATCAACCAGCTGCCTCCTGCACACCTCCCTCCGGGGATGTGCCAGCAACCAAGGTACATGCCCTTAACCGGAATCGAACCTGGGACCTTTCAGTCCCCAGGACGATGCTCTATCCACTGAGCCAAACTGGTTTTGGCATTGCTCGCTTTTTAAATGTGGCTTCGTCTTCAGTCGCATCTGTGAGGTCGCAGGCATGGTGGTTCCGTAGGTTCCAGTCCATGGCCTCCTTCATGCAGGGGCCTGGCCCTGCTCCTCTGCCAGCTGCAGGCGCCGGAGGGGAGGGGACCTGAGGTTCTGTCCTAGGCCCGGGGCCCACACACAGAAAAGCCTACCCAAGCCCTGCCCTGGCCCGGAACGGGGACAAGTCCGTCCCCAGACTTGTCAGAGGGGCTTCAGGCATTATTTCCTACCCAGAAGGCCAAGGGGCTAAGGTGACAGACGTGGGGAACGTGAGCTGGTATGCAATAGGGAGCGGTGGGGACTGTCAAGGGTACCAGCCTTGTCCAAAGGGACCATTGCCCTCGGCTCCAGCAGATGCTGTCGTGTGGGGATGCAGATTCTTAAGAGCAGCTGGAAATGCTGGGTTTGTGTGTAAAGCCTGTGTTTAAGTGCTGCCGTTTTAAAGCAGCGGGTGAGAGCGCTGTCCAGCCTGCCGCGCATGCTCCCCGCGTCATAATGACCACAACCCCATCCTTGGCCAAGGTCTGTCTTCATCTCACTGGATCCGCACCACAAGCCCAGGCGGGCAGCGTCACTCCTGTCTCAGGGATGAGAAGCCTGGGGCTTGGACGAAGTCCTTGGCCCAGAGGCACACCAGTCAGTCAGTGGGAGAGCTGGATTCGAACCCAGGTCAGGCTCCCACCCAGGCCCGCCTTTCCTGGTGCTGGGGCACAGAGGGTGAGGCAGAGACAGACAGACAGACAGACAGACACACACACACACACACACACACACACAGTCCATGGCACCCTGGTCCAGCAAGTGGGGGGTGGGGGGCAGTGTGCAATGCAGGCTGCTAAAATCCCAGCACTTTCCTCCTGTGACACTGTCGCCACCTACTGGTCACAACAGCATCCAGGTGAGCAAGCCCAGCACCTAAAATGACTATTGGACCCCCAGGGGCATAGGGTCCTGTGGCTGGGGGCTTGGGTTTAAGTCCGGTCTCTATCACTCCCACTTTAAGACATTGGCAGGGTCACCTAAGCCTCTTATTTCTAGAATGGAGAAAGCGTGATACCTCCCACGTGGGGAGCATAGGTCAAGTGCTTAGCATTGAGTAGCACGCGCTCAACACATGCCTAGCATTGTTGTTAAAAGCGAAGGTGAACTGGACAGGCCGCTCTGCTCAGCGCCTGTCCTCATGTGTGATCCAGAGGGCCACCCAGCCGGCTCTGGCCCCTCCTGTGGCCTCCACCTCTGGCCAGTGGGTTACGGGGAAGACTCAGAGCCCTCCTGCCCCCAAACCCCTGAGCATCCCTCCAGGGGGCTAACTGTGGGGCTCCTATTGCAGTGCAGTCACAGCAGGCGGGTTACCGATGGGGTTTCCCCGCTCTTCCTCTGCCTTTGCAGCAGAGCCATGCTTCCTTCCGCTGATGGTTTACTTCCAAGGCCACGGCTCTAAACAAGAAAGCAGAACTGGAGGCAGATGAGAAGGACTCAGGTGGGACAGAGACAAGCTAGTGCCACTGTACCTGTGAGGTCACTGCTACTCGCGTGTGCTAGGAAACGATAAATCTCACGCCACCACAACTTGTGTGCAGTGTTCCTCAGAACGATGCTGGTACTTTCATCCTCACTGGTACTTAGGCAGAAACGGAGCGAGGGAAGGAGCAGGTGTTACGTACATCCTGGTCCCCACGGTGTGCAGCAGAAAAACAAGGGAAGTGTCTGAGGGTGGAGCTGGCTCAGCTCTGCAGGAACGAATGCAGATAGCAGGCTGGGTCTTGTACTGGAAGGAAAAAAATGTTATAAGAGGCTTTATAGGGACCAATGACAAACTAGACTACAGGCTGATTATTCACACGTATGGCACCCATGTGCTACGGAAGAGAATATCCCTGTCTTTAGCTACACAGGAATGTAACTCATCTTAAATAGTTCAGAAAAACTGTGCGTGTGTGTGTCTGTGTGTGTGTGTGTGTGCGCGCGCGCTCATGTGTGGAGATGGAGAGAAAAAAATGATAAAGCAAACGGGGCTATTTTGCAACATATAAACTTGAAGTTATTTGCAAATAAAATGTAAGTTTAAATTTATTTGCAAATAAAAAGTAAAATGAAGTGCAAGTAATAGCAGTCAAGCTCGGAGGCCGGAGCCCGCTGTGGAGGGCATGCAGCCAACTGTCTCCCCTCCTCCCCCACCCAGCGTGGAGACGGTGAACGACGGGCAGTTCCACAGCGTGGAGCTGGTGATGCTGAACCAGACCCTGAACCTGGTGGTGGACAAAGGAGCTCCCAAGAGCCTGGGGAAGCTCCAGAAGCAGCCGGCAGTGGGCACCAACAGCCCCCTCTACCTTGGAGGTAAAGCCCCCTCCCCTGCCACCCCACCACTCCCACCTCTCACCTGCCCTCTGTGCTCGGGCGCCTGCACGCAGGCCCTCTGTCTGGGGTTCCCCTGTGCTCATGTAGGCATCCACTGCACAGTCAATCAGGGCAGGCTTCCTGGAGGAAGTAACAACCAAGCTGATCCCTAAAGGGTGAATAGTTAGCCAGGGCACGGGGAGGAGAAGAGAGGAGAGAGCTCAGGGCTCCTTCTGAGGACCACAAGTTATTCGGGAGCAGAGAGTGGGAGGGAGGGGAAGAGATAGAGGCAGGGTCCAGGCACTGCGATCCATGGGCTTCAGGTCACATTCCCTGTGCTCTGCCATTTTGTGGGACACGGCAAGGCTCAGCTGATGTACGTGGAAGAACCTGTTTGATGTTTAAGATTAAGAAGTGCCTTCCCCCACCACCTCACCCCGCAGGCCCTGGCCTGAAACGCAGCCCTGGGCTTTAGTTCTGAAAGGATGGTGTGCAAACACAAACCAGCACTGCTAGTTCAGCACAGAGGGCCCCCAGGGAGCCCAGCTGTGGAGGCTGGAGTGGCCCAGCCATCAGTTCTGTCAGCAGCCAGTCAGGGAGTGCCCTGGGCCTAGAGCTTCTCTCCCAATGACAGTCCCAAAGTTCCACCGATCCAAGCTGCACCCCAGACCCCTGTCTTCTCTCCCCGGCTCCCACTCCCCAGCGGTGTTTCCCGAGGGGGAGGGGGCCTGTCACACTGCAGAGGCCTGATGGGGGGAGGTTGGCAGCCACCCTGCCTGGGCTGGGCCTTCTCCATCGGACCATGGCCACGTGGCTATGGCTGGCCACATTTTGTCTAGAGGATCCTGAAAATGGACTTCCATGGGATAATTTCTATATGTAAATAATGGCGATGTTTCCAGTTTCTGAGTCACAGGGCAGGACAATGGGTACATGTTCCCGAGTGGACAGGATCCCAGGTGTCAGCCCCTTCCCTCCATTGGCACAGCAGAGACCAGGGTTGTGAATGCTTAGCAGGGACATGGAAAGAGTGCGCTCTCGCTCTAAGGGGAGGGCTGGCAGAGGGGAGGGTCTCAGGCCGCTGTCCTGGCATCGCGCCCACAGGCATCCCGACCTCCACGGGCCTCTCGGCGCTGCGCCAGGGGGCGGACCGGCCGCTGGGCGGCTTCCACGGCTGCATCCACGAGGTGCGCATCAACAACGAGCTGCAGGACTTCAAGGCGCTGCCGCCGCAGTCCCTGGGCGTGTCGCCCGGCTGCAAGTCCTGCACGGTGTGCCGGCACGGCCTGTGCCGCGCGGTGGAGAAGGACAGCGTGGTCTGCGAGTGCCACCCCGGCTGGACCGGCCCGCTGTGCGACCAGGAGGCCCCAGACCCCTGCCTGGGCCACAGGTCAGTGCCCCCGACCTGAGAAGTGACCCTGAGGGCAGCTGGGGGAGGGGCTGTGGTTTAACTGTAGGCAGGACCTGCATTGGTGTGACTGCTGAGGAGTCCTGCCCAGAAGGCCTGCTCAGAGCACGCCCCTACCTGCAGACAGGCACATGCCCTTTGGGCAGATGGGCACTTTCTCAGCTGGGCCAGTGGGAGGGGGGACTTTCAGCCCAGACTCAGCTGCCCCCCCTCAGCCAGTACCTGTTCAAGCCCCGGTGTGCATAGCCATAGCAGAATCACTGGCATTCGTCCCACAGTACTCACTGAGGGCCTACTGTGTGCCCCACCTAAGGTTAAACCGAGAGTTCCGGAATCTCAGTGCTAAGAAATCTGAATCAGCCAGAAATAACACCAGAGCCAAGGACGGAGGTTGGGTCGGCTTACCGGCTGGGAAGTGATGGCATAAATTGGCAGTGAGGGCCGATGGCTCTGCGTAGCTCTGCAGTGTATGGCTCTGAGTCGTCTGCAGAGAACCCCGGCTCTCGCCGTCACCCCAACAGAGACAGCGCTGCCCATGATTAGAACATAGATTAGACCCGTTCCTAACCCCATGCCACATGGAGAAGGCGACCACCACACAGGAGCAGCAGGAGGGACAAGCCCAGCGCGATGCTGGCTGCCTGGCACCAGCAAGGGTGGCTGTGCCTGGCGGTGCTCACGGCAATAGCACTGTGAGCATTTAGGTTGTAGGTCAGTTGGCATGCCTGGAGAATGTGGAGATGCTCCCCAGCAAGGACTGCGCTGGGCTCCGGGAGTTCTGAGCAGGTCACGTGGTGGCCACAGCCGGCGTGGACACTAGACAATGCCCCTTGGACTCCGCAGAGTGTCTAAGGAATGGCTGATGCTTGGTCACTGGGGCGGCTGGAGGTGGAGTGTGGGATGGAGATGGAGGAAGACACCACCCACCCTCTCACCCGCTCGTCTGCCCACAGCTGCGACCACGGGAAATGTGTGAGGACCGGGCCCTCCTATGTGTGCAAGTGTGCCGAGGGCTACGGAGGGGCCTTGTGTGACCACAAAAACGACTCTGCCAGCGCCTGCTCAGCCTTCAAATGCCACCACGGGCAGTGCCACGTCTCAGACCGAGGGGAGCCCTACTGCCTGTGCCAGCCTGGCTTCGGAGGGGAGCACTGCGAACAAGGTAGGCCTGCCGTGTGCCACCATGAGGCTGCGTGACCCAGCCTCTCTCCCCCTTCTCTCTCATTTTCCTGCTCCCCTTAACCCACATCCTCTCCTGCTGCTCTTCCCCTTTCAGCACCCCCCACCCAGCCTATACTCTCTCCCCTCTCCATATTTCTTCAAACCCTCCTTCCTATCTAATCTTCCCCTACCCCTTTCCTCTTTCCCTACCTTGTCCGCTCTTCCCGCCTCTTTCCATTCTCTACTCCCATCTGCCTTCCACTCCTTTCTCACCTCTTTCTGCTCCCCCTATTACTTCTCTTCCTGACGCTTCCCTCTTTCATATCCTTTCTCTTCCTTCTCCCCCCTGCCCCAATTTCCCTCTCCTCGCCTCACTCCTTTCCCCTCCTTCCATTCCCTTCTTTCTCTCTTCTCCCCGACTGCCTTCTACCCTCTTTTCTCTCCCTTTAACCTCTCTCCTCTCCTCCCATTTCTCTTCTGACAATCTCCTTTCCGCTCTTCCTTCTTTCTGCCCCCTTGAAATGCCTGCTTTCAAAACTAATCCCTAACTTAGCCACACAACGTGTAGATGTCTAACCAGCACCACTGACTTACCTGGGAGGGTGGAGAAGTGCGGTCTCAGGCCCCTCTGGAGACCTTTTAAGTCAGAACCTGCAGAGAAAGAGAAGTCCCCCTCCCTCCACCACACTTCTAGACAGTGAAGGACTCACATTTTATACCCAGCTGAACTACCACACTTAATCAAAAATTTATTCGTGTATTTTGAAATATCTTCAGATTAAACAGAAAAATTGCCAGAACAATACAGACAGCTCTCAGTTCCCTCCAACCAACTTCCCATCGCTGCTGTCTTGCAGGTTCCACACCCTCGTCCTCCTTAGTCTCTTTCTGGACCTTTTGACACTCTTGTCACTTACAAAACCATATCCAGCTTAACATTCTCCTCATTAGTCCCCAGAATCTGGGCAGAGCTCACAGCTCTTTCTGGACTCCTCCCAGCCTGGGCAGAGGCAGGGGAGACAGGGCACCAGGCCACCAGGAAGCCGAGGCTGTGTGGCGGAGCATCCGGCTGTGTCCATTGCTGGCCTTGGGCCTCGCTGCAGGGGTGCTCCCAGTGCAGGGAAGACGGGGATGGAGAGGAGAGGCAGGTCAGGGTCCAGAGGGTACCTGCAGGCTTAGAGCCCTCTCTCCCGGCCACAACAGCCCCTGTGCTGTGTGCTCCCGTCAGCCCTCTCAGGTACCATTAGTGTCCAGACTCCACACCACCAAGTGGGGTGAGGGCGGGGCACCTAGAGCACTCCACCATGACAATGCAGAACATGGGCCCATTTGGCCAGGCCTCCTGCTTTCCACAGCAGCCAGAAACCCCAATGCTAGGTGGAGGCCCCTGGGTTTTGTCTCTAACATTGGCATTTCGTCTGACTTTAAGGGTGCAATCAGTTTGCCTGGACATGGGGCTAGCCTAAGGTGACCAGATGTCCCACTTTTGGCGGAACAATCCCGATTTTTAACAATTTGTCCCATATCCCAATGTGTTTTTAAAAAGTCCCAATTTAATCTTTCAAAAAATCGGGACTTTTTTTTTTTTATATATTTTATTGATTTTGTACAGAGAGGAAGGGAGAGAGATAGAGAGTCAGAAACATCGATGAGAGAGAGTCATCAATCAGCTGCCTCTTGCACACCCCCTACTGGGGATATGCCCGCAACCAGGGTACATGCCCTTGACCGGAATCGAACCCGGGACCTTTCAGTCCCCAAGCCGACGCTCTATCCATTGAGCCAAACCGGTCCCGGCAAAAAATCGGGACATTTTAAAATGCCACGGAACACAGGACAAACTGTTAAAATCGGGACTGTCCCGCCAAAAGTGGGACATCTGGTCACCTCAGGCTAGCCCTCATTCTGTTTGACACATAAAATTTGGTCTCACGTTCCTTGAAGGGAGAGACGCAGACGGGTGGACGGAGAGGTGGAAGGCAGTTCCAGGGAGATAAGGATGCCGAGTGGCCGAGTACCTGGGCGATGGCTGCAGGGGGGGAGGGGGAGGTCAGGGTGGGGGGCCGATGAGTGAATGAATCAAGACCACGGAGTTTCCGAACGCTGCCTGGGAATGGGCCCTGGTTCCTGCCAGCCCTCTGCCAGCGCCCTGACCTTACCCTGCTGTGCCCTCCGCAGAGAACCCGTGCCTGGGGGAGGTCGTCCGAGAGGTGATCCGCCGCCAGAAGGGCTACGCGTCCTGTGCCACGGCCTCCAAGGTGCCCGTGGTGGCGTGCCGCGGCGGCTGCGGGCCCCAGTGCTGCCTGCCCACCCGCAGCCGGCGGCGGAAGTACGTCTTCCAGTGCACGGACGGCTCCTCCTTCGTGGAGGAGGTGGAGAGACACTTGGAGTGCGGCTGCCGGCCCTGCGCCTAGGCCTGCCTCCGGCCCGGCCACGGGGACCTGGAGCGGAACGCAGAAGAGAATATTAAGTATATTGTAAAATAAAACAAAAAAATAGAACTTATTTTTATTATGGAAAGTGACTATTTTCATCTTTTATTATATAAATATATCCCACCGTCCGCTGTATCTGTACATTATAGTGAGCTGCTGTGTTACCGCGTTGTTCTTGTGTTGTGGACTTGTCGTGTTTGGATGAACAAGCTGTTAAAAGTTTTAAGAGAAAAGACTAATAAAGTGTTTTAAGGCGGAAGGACGAGAATAAAGGAGTGGAAGCCTGTGTGAGGGGGGAGGAGGGTTCTGTGTGAGGGGAAAACACCAGGATGTCAGCAGAAATCCAGGCTGTGGGCGCGGGAGAGGGGAGAGGGGGGGAGGAGGCATGTCCTAGCTGCTGAGGGCCATACGCCCAGTTCTTCCAGGCAAATCCCCGGGGCCCAGGCCTCCTCTGTGACCCCCCACACCCCTGCAGACCCCACTTCTGCCTGAGTGGCCCTGGGTTCCATTGCAAAACTATCTGAACGCGGGCTAAGGTGAGCCTGTTTTGCCAAAATTTAAAACAGCTGCTCTTTCCTTTCCCTTCTCTCCCTAGGAACTAAGTCCTGTGGGTAGGGGGAGGGGAAGGGAGGGAAGGGGAGGGAAGACAGCCAGGCTGAGCCCTGCCACCGGCCTCTCCTACCTCCAGCTTGGGCTGTGACCCCAGGAAGCAAGGCCTGGAGCCAAGTCTGCCCACAGCCCTGGCAGGAGCCCATGCTGGGAAGTTCTCAGAGGCTCTTGCCATGGACAGCAGCCTTACCGGGCCATCCAGGCACCAGCATGATGGCAGAGACCCCTTGCACGTCTGGTTTCCCGGGTGCATCGGCACTGCCACTGGGCCTCACATTGCCCACGGAACTCCTGCCCCCTCCCCGCAAGGGCAGAGCAGCAGGACCCACAGCCGATGGGCAGAGACCTCCCCACCTCTGGGACCTGCCACAGGCCTCACATCTGCGGTGGGAGAGCAGCCGGGGGCAGACTCCGCGCTCCAGTCCCCCTCCCCCCCCAACACACACACACACACACACCCCATGGCACAGACACGGAGATTGGGCCGTGAAAGCCCAGCCCGGCCAGAAAAGGAAGGAGCTTTCCTGACGTCTCTCCTGTTCTCGGCTGCCTCACTAGTTCCTTGTTCTGCTTCCCGAGGACCCAGAGTCTAGACAGTGTCCTCCATGTTGGGAAAGTGAGCAAAAGCTGTCTCTCCACCACCTCAGTTGCCCCTGCCCACTTCAGGCTCGGCCCCTCACATCAACTGCCACCTCCCATCCCCCGTTCCTGGGACCTCCCCTGTAGGGGCCAGGGGAGTACACAGACCCCCGTTCTGAGGGCTCACTGACGAGCCTAGGGGGTCTGAGCGGACCGATGGCGGATCGAAGGCTCAGAGCACCCCGAAGGGAGGAAGGGGCAGAGGGAAGATGGAGGCGCAGAGGCAGGTGGCCCCAAGCCCCTCAGCCCGCCAGAACCCTGCCCCCCGGAAGGACTCTCAGGGGCTATGGCCTCCCTCTTCCCCACAGGAGTCCAGGCCTCTCTCTGCCCATCACCCCTGGCTCCAAACCCGAGTCCAGCCCCAATCAACAGCGCCAGTCCGAAGGACCAGGCTCTTTCTCTCTGGGGAGCGGGTGGGGCAGGGGAAGGGATATTGATCCTTCCTCTCAGTTTTGGAAGCTCTGGCTTTACCAAGTGCCAAATGCAAGACCACTAAAAATCTCCACCCCGAATGCAGGGGAGATTGAAATCCTCCGATTTGAGCAACCGAAGTGTAAGCACAGAGAGTCCCTCGGGGCAGGAAGAGTTTGGTTGGGAAATGGTCCTGCTTCAGGGGTCAGTGCTTGCTGGGGACACATGTTGCGGAAGAGGGGGCTCTGGCCCTGCCTCCCCCTCAGCAGGACTCAGGGACAAGGAAGGGAGGGTCTCCTCCTGTCCGCACTGAGGGGCCTTCATCCCGTGACTGATGAGATGATGGACTTCAAAGCTCTTGTAAAGTGTCAACTGAAAACCTTACATGTAAGACGCCGTGGTTATTATTACTGTTGCCGTTGCTATTATTGATGTGCCAGTTGGTCCTCTGTGAAGACCAGCTTTGCCCTTCCAGTCTCATAGGCAGGAACTCCAGTCTGACACGTGAGAGAGAGGAGGACAAGGAGGAGAGGGCCGAGGAAAGGAGAGGAGAGCCCCCAGGCCCAGCGAAGGAGGAAATCCGAGGGGAGCCCAGTGGCCGGATGGGGCTGAGCTAACCTGGCCCTTCACTGCAGACAAATCTACCACCAGATGCACCAGAGGCCGCGCAGTCACCACGATCTTTGCCAGGAGCAGAATCCCTAGTGTCAACAGGCCCACCCCTCAGAACCTCTCAGGGTCCCGGTATCAGAGCTGAAGGAGCCCCCGGGGCCCCAGGTGGGTGGGAAAACCGAGAATCAGAGAGCGGAGTGTCCAGATCTGAGACCAGGGTCATCTGGCAACGTCACGCCAGAGGCAGGAATAGAGCCAGGTGCACCCAGGGGGCACCCAGCAGAGTGAGGCCTGACACAGCGCCCAGACAGCTGCACCCCGCCCTCCCCCCTCCTCCCAGCCAGCTCCGGTGCACGCAGCATTGTCGACCAGTGCACTTGCCCACATTTTCCATTCTGGCTTACACGATGCCAAGGGGGCACCTGGGGAAAGCTGATGAGAGGTGCCAGCGAGCCAGGACCAAGGAAGCTAGGAATGGGTATCTGGCAAAGCTTATTTCTCTAACTCAACTACAGATTCTAAGAGGAAACATATTAAGGTATGTTTGAAACACTGTGATAGTGCCACTTCCCCAGGATGAATAAAAAAGTGTGCTTTTTCCCAACAGACTGTCGTGTGCTGATGTCCCTGAAATAAACGGAGGGGTCACAGGCGAGCTCTCGGGCGCTCTTGTGATGCGAAAGGTCAGCCCGGCACTGAGCGGTATTTTATTTTTACTCCCGACCCTCACCTTCCCTGGGGGAAAGACTGCTGCATGTATGAAGTCTGGGTGAAGTATTGGGGGGGAGTTAGTGAAAGAAAATGGTTCTTTGGACAATGAAGTGGGAACAGAGTTCCCCAGGCATGGGAGCCGAGACGCCCATGGCTGGGGTCTGCCGGGCGAGGTGGGCCCGGTCCCGGACCGGCTGCGGGGGGGCCAGTGAGGGAAGGCCCTCAGTTCAGAGGAGACTCATGGGCACTTCTAGGCCTGATTACACTTCTTCCTCAGCGCACTTCTTCCATGGGGATCTCTGGAACCTTTGCTACCTGCCAGGTGAGGCCTCCGCACTGAGACCCCCAAGGATGGTCAAGGCCAAGTGCTTGTTCTCCTGGAGCTTCACCTTTAACCTCTGACTGTGTGTCAACCAGCAAACCAACCAGGAAAGACAACCGCAGATAGTATCTATCATCGAGAGGAGAGGACAGGACAGCATAGCTGGGAAGTCGGGGGAGGCCTCTATGAAGGACTGGGACAGGGGGGTGGGCGCAACCCTGGGAAATGGAAGCAGGAGGAAGCGAGGAGGTGACGCTGCTAGCGCTTCTCAACCGTGGGTCGCGAACCTACAGGTTGAGAGCCGCCGCTGTAGAGCCTAAGGCCATCGGAAAACACAGATATTTACATTACGATTCATTAACAGTAGCAAAATTACAGTTATAAAGTCGCAACGAAAATGATTTTATGGTTGGGGTCACCACAACATGAGGAGCTGTATGAAAGGGTCGGGGCGTTAGAAAGGTTTGAACCACTGGTTTACAAGAATGTTACAAGAGACGGGGACGAAGGGCGGGCGGGCGGGCACCGGTGAGCTTTGAAACTGACACCTGCAGGGAAAGGGGGACAGGGGCCATTCGGAAAAGCAGGGGGGACAATGAGAAAGTGGAATGAACGGACAAAGAAGCTGCCAGCAGTTATGAACCTTGGACAGAGACGCTCATGGGCTCTCCCATTTTCACTGGGAACCCCTCCCTACATGGGAGCTCGTGAATGCTTCCAATAAACTTCCATGCGTTTGCTTAACATCCTTTGTCCAAGAAATTTATTCTTCAAACTTCCTGAGACAAGAACCCGGAGAGTTCCAGCTTGCCATTCGAGGTATCGCACAGGTCAATGATATTTTTTTAAACTCTGGCGTTCAATCCGAAACTCTCAAAACAACTGGGAGCGCAAAGTCACGCAAATCTGCACCCTTTCCCTCTCCCCCCACCCTCCCCCTCCTGCTAGGGTCTGTCCTGCCTCCTGGAATCTCCTGGAGTCAGACAGCTCTAGTCACAGGGCTCACTCCCATCCTAGGACTTTCCACCAGCAATTACTATTGGAACCATCATCCTTACCATCTGTTCCCCCATAACCACCGCTCTTTGCTCTCGTTCTGCCCCGAGAGCATACCAAACCAGACTAAGTGAGACTGGCTGCCCGGCCACCGCCATCCTGACTCTAGAGCAGCGGATCTCAACCTGTGGTCACCTAAGACCATCGGAAAACACAGATATTTACATTACAACTCAATAACAGTAGCACAATTACAGTTATGAAGTAGCAACAAAAACAATTCTATGGTCGGGCGTCACCACAACATGAGGAACTGTATTAAAGGGCTGCGGCATTGGAAAGGTTGAGAACCACTGCTCTAAAGGAAAGGAATCCGTGGCAATGATGTGTATCACATTCTCCATAAGGCCTCGTAGTGCCAATCCTAAACAGATAGGTTTTTATGTCCAAGTCTGTTTATCGTAAAGTACAGCTAGGGGTCATTTTGATGGTTGATGGGAAGCAGTACTAAATATTTTTCAACACTGAAATTACAGACACACGTGACTTTGCTCATCCCCTCAACCATGGTTGGTGCTCCACTATGCCTTCCAGGTGCAAAGGCCCTGAGGGACCTTAGAGTCTAAGAAAACAGCAGAAGGCCAGTGAATGACCAAGTGAGAATGTGGGGAGACAGACA